TTGAGGTCTCTTGGTGCTGACGTTGATGAAAATGCTGTTGCGGAAGATTTCGCAGCACCTACGAGAGCTCTTGACTTTGTGTTTGATGCGGTTGAGATCTGCGGGGGATCAGGTGTGCTCTCAAAAGCCTTAGCTGCAGAGGGGCTAACTGTGTGCCCTCCCATAGATCTCTCACAAAGCAAGCACTACGACCTCCGAGACCTTCGGCTCATAGAGTGGATCTTTCACATGCTCATCACAGGGAGGTTCAGATCAGCAATTTGTGAACCGGTCTGCACTACCTTCTCACCAGCTCAGCATCCAGCCAGCAGGTCATACAATCAGCCTTTGGGTTTTGACAGAGGAGACCCAAAGACATTTTTGGGCAATTTGATTGCCTTCAGATGCCTTGCGATTGTTTGGTTTGCGGCCCGTGTTGGGGCTATTGCTATGTTGGAGCAGCCGCGTCTCAGCAAGATGGCATGGCTTAGCTGCTGGCAGTTTCTTTTGAGGATTGGTTTTGAGGATTGGTTTTGAGGAGGCCTTCCTTGACTCATGCGCTTTTGGGTGTATCCACAAAAAGCCCTTCAGGTTTCTTTGCCATGGCCTGCCAGCCTCCGAGATGACCACACGTTGTCCTGGAGGTCATAGCCACGTGAGGATTGAGGGAAAGTTTACAAAAGCTAGTGCGATTTACCATCATGGGCTTACAAAATTTTTGGCAGGCCATTTTGCGAGGGCTCTGAAGCAGAAAAGTTTTGAGGAGGAAGGAAGAGCTGAAAAGCCGCGCCTTGAGAGTGCAGTCCTCAATGACATTTTGTCGCAGCCAGGTTGGGAGGTTCTGAAAGAATGGAAGTGGGCCAGAGGGGCACACATCAACATTCTTGAGAGCAGATCTTTGGTTGCCCTCATGAAGCATCTCTGCGTTTCTGGAGGTGATTGCAGATTCAGCACCCTTCTTGACTCAAGGGTTGCCAAGGGGGCCCATGCTAGGGGCAGGTCATCGGCTGTTGCTCTCCGGCCCTCACTCCTTCGAGGCTGTTCCTATGCAATTGCAGGAAGCCTCCACCCTGCTTATGGTTTTGCTCCGACCAGGCTCAACACAGCAGATGCTCCCACCAGGGACCGCCCTCTACCAAAAGCCTCCACAGCTTCATCTCTCCACTCAGGAGGTCGCCAGTCTTCACTCACTTCAGTTCTCAAGAGCGGTAGCAGGTTGGGTACGGCTCACCCTCCTCGCTGCCTTTTGCACTTGTCCTGTTGATGGTTGTTCGACTCGCCATCCTCCACCCTCTTCCTTTCATGGAATTTACTCCAATTTTGGATTCTGGATTTTCCTCCTCCTTGCCGTTTCAGCCATCTGCCTCTTGACAAACCCCATTTGGACTTCCAGTTGGAGTGGAAATAAATGGATTTTTAAGACCCCAAATAAATACCTTTGGGCCCTTTTAGCCCTCGGCGTCGCTTTCGGCGCGTTGCCATGTGCTCATGCGATGCCACTGCAACCCGCAGGTTCTGGAGAGACACAACGCGCAGCTCGACGTGCAGGAACAGTCCTGCAGCCTGACAGGGTCATTTTGGCCTCGACAAGGGCTAGACGCGAGCAACTGCTTGAGGCCTTCGACAGCTGGCTTACAGAACATTTCAGGCTGACACTCGAAGAGCTTCTGGGAAGACATGCGCTTGATGTCGAAACAATAAATGATGCCTTGGCGGCATACGGAAAAGATTTATACCAGTCTGGCAAAGCATATGGCCGCTTCTCTGAAACAATCAATGCGATTACATCAAAGCGCCCAGCACTGCGTAGGCAAGTTGGAATGGCGTGGGACTTGGCATTCAATTGGGTCGTTGATGAACCCCATGAACATCATCGAGCCTTGCCAGTTTCTTTGATGATAGCTTTGGTGACGCTCAGCCTTCTTTGGGGCTGGGCGAGAGAAGGGGCCATCATAGCCTTGGCATGGACAGGGGTGCTTAGAATCGGAGAAGTGTTGCAGGCACGACGTGCCGACCTTATCCTCCCGGAGGATGCGGCTCCTGGAGTTTGGTATGCGATACTGAAGGTGCAACAGCCAAAGACCAGAGGACGCGCTGCGCGTCATCAATCGACGCGCATTGACCCCATCGACATTGTTCAACTCCTAACTGCTGTCTATGGGAAGCTTGTTCCTAGCGATCCTCTTTGGCCGTGGTCACCAGCAACTATGAGGCGGAGATTCAGCCAGCTGCAATCAGCACTTGGCGTCGTTCAGGGGCCTGAGCGGACTCCACAATATACGCTCAGCTCTTTACGACCAGGAGGAGCCACATTCTGGTTGCAGGCTACTGAAGATGCTGAATACGTGAGAAGAAAAGGGAGGTGGCTCTCGACGAGAGTGCTCGAGGTCTACTTGCAGGAGACTTCAGTTTCAACTTTTACGCAACGACTGTCTAAAGAGACAAAGAGCCGAGTGACAGATCTCTGCAAGCAGTTCCCGAGCGTTCTGAAGAGGGTCCAGTTCTTCAAGGAGAACAAATTTCCAGAAAGGTCATGGCCACAACTCTGGTGATGCTGGGTGCTGGGGAAGATGCCACCTTTTTGTTGCAACAGCACCATCCAACCGGTGCCGCTGTTTCACTGAGAGCAGACCCAGCCGGAGCTGTGGAAAACAAAGTGCAATGGAACTTGAAGACTTGCTTGTGAGTAAGTCTGACTGTGGCATGAAACGTGTGTTGCTCAAGTTCACCCATCCCTTTTGCTGCGCAGTTCCCACCCTTGAAGCACATCGTTGTGGCAATCTTTTTGTTGCAACAGCACCATCCAACCGGTGCCGCTGTTTCACTGAGAGCAGACCCAGCCGGAGCTGTGGAAAACAAAGTGCAATGGAACTTGAAGACTTAACTAATCCTTCGCCTTCGGTTGATACCAAGATTTCTGCTCGTTTGCCTGTTTGTGTACATTTTACTGATTCGTGCCATTATTGTAAAATTGGCAATTTGTGCAATTCTATGCAAACAGGATCAGAAGATATCAGAAGCTACCGCCAACAGAATCGTGCACAAAACTGGCGCAATAACCTATAAAAGGAGCGCAAAAAAACCTTAAAGGGCGCACATATAATCATTAATCATTAATTATTATTGCCAGGGGTCGTTTGGACAACAGTCCGAAACGACCATTTTGAAGTTCTGCCTCTTTCAGGGTTCAGGTTCTGTCTAGTTCCGAGCAAACCGGATCGTTTCCTTTTTTTTGATTTTGTCATGCCAGACATCCACTTGCAGATTGTTTGTTCTGGTTGTTGCCTTATATCCACCAGCTCGCTGCTTGATGGGCCCCAAAATTTCAATGCATTTGGGTATTTTTGGGTGAAACATGAGGCAACGCATTTTTCGTTGGTTTAGTCCAACCTTCCATCATCCTGAAATGCTGCAAGATTTCAGTCAAACTTGGGTGTTTGGAATGCTTCAATCTATACGACCAGCAGAAGAACACTGCGACGTCGAAAAACATTCTCTTTTCTCACTGATTTAGCATAATGTATGCATCATTGTTTTTCATGCTTTGATTGCAGATCTCTGCGTTGGTTCCTGTATCAACACAAGGCCGCGTACTGTATGGGCCAGGTTATTCAGTCAGTTCTTGACTCTTGACATCTCTTGACCACACAAGATCATAACTGTGTTATAACTCCAAATTGAAAGCGGGCGCGCCCATCATGGCGAGGGAAAGGCGTGGTATTTTGGTATGCTGGTAATGCTGGTAATGGTGGTAATGGACTCTGAAGTTCTTCGTAATTCTGAACCCCCCTTGGCATTGGCAGGTCACGGTCAAGATCTTCATATTCCTACTCCAGCTACTCAAGCGAGCACAGGCAATTTCCCAATGTATCCCAATGTTTGACGGCGCATTTCTCCAAAACTTGTCATTCCAGGCCTTCCAAAGCAGCATCTCGGAAAGAGGACAAAGGAGCCCCTTGGCATCCGCACCCTGTCACATACGTCCAGCGCATGTCCAGCACATGTCACACATTTTGAAGGTCTTCGAGTTCTCTTACGGAGTTTTGATGAGTTTTGGATGAGTTTTGGGGGTTTGGGTTTGGTGAGAGGAGGCTTGGCTGGTGAGAGCAAAGCCAGCGAGGCTCAGTTCATGCTTGAAACAAAGCTATAGCATAGCTACGTTATGCATCGTTGCGCTCTGTTCTGCCAGGCTGCTCCCAGCAAAACCAATGGTGAGAAGCCACCCAAGGCGTGGTGATGTTCGTTTCGACCGTCGTGACATGTCGTGACGTTTGTTATTCCTTCCAGCCTGAGGTCAAAGAACTGCAAGCGAGGAGCAGGGTTCTAGACCTTGCGTTTGAGGGTGAAAGCATAACAATTCAGAACATTTGTGCCATTGTTCAAACGTGTATTGCCTCATAAACACGATGGTCTCCGTCTATCAATCAATTGGGGTTAATAGATGCATGACAAGAAATCCCTGATATTTCATAAGAACGGTGAGATTACCATGCCCCATGTACAATGTTTACCATGTTTTGACGCGTCACACGTACACGTCAGATTGCTTCCAAACTGGTGGGAACCTGTGACACGCAGGAGTGGCACCAGAGTCGCCAGCGCTGTCCAGCAGGTCCCACTCTGCAGCGTGGCTACGTGTCGGTGCAACGCCTACATTAGAATTTCGGAACGGTCCCAGCAAGCCACAACCGCATTCTGCCAGCGGCCACTTTCAAGACCTCAGGAGGTTTTTTCTTAACAGTTTTGGCTTAAGGGACAGAAGCATGGAAAGGACATGACACGATATGTCTGAAGCAAGCCTATGATGAGGCTTCATCTAAAACAATAGCATCAAATAATATTGTACAGTATTTGAAGTTCTTGGAGTTGCCATCCGTGCATGCTGGTGAGACAGCAACATGTAGTAGTGGAGTTGTTGTTGGCTAAGGACAGCAAATCAGACAGCAATTGATTTTTTGCAAATCATATGTATAATTACGTATATTTGTCATTTCTTATCTATATAAATTCTTTTTGGAAACCATGGATCCGCTTTGTGGAACCCCGTGTGGTTCAGCCGCTGCGCAACCCCATGTCGAAGTTACTGAGATCAAGTGCAATTCTCAATTTCCGAAGCCTTGAATCACCGTGAATCCTTCGGTTCCAGTACTCTCCCAGAATGCAAACATCCTTGCCCAATACGAACAATCTGCCGAGGCCAGAAATGGTAGGTGCTACTATGTTCCGCGCTCATTCTTCTGAAGTGATGCTGGAACATTTGGACCATGCAATGATGATGTGGGGAGCTCAATCTTACATGATTTCGCTGCATTGATTGACCCAAGTTGCTATAGTTTTTTCATAACGTGTGTCCCACGGTAGGTGTTCTGTTTCGTTGCTGTGCAGGTCCAGAAGGCCAGAGCAACTGGTGAAGAACCTCAAGATACAGCAATCTGTTCTTGAGGCCTTCCATTCATCCCCTGTCAAATTTTGTGGAAGGTTTTGACATGTTTTGACAGCTTGACATGGTTTGAATTCAAACCAACTATAGTATAGTTTTTGCAGATTCTATTTTGAACAGTTGTTGTCAGGAACACTTCCATTGAATATGGCAAGCAATCAATGGCAAAAGGGAAACCTAGAAATGCAGCACACCTTACACATTGGCTTGCACCACATGTCTACGATGAAAGATATAAAAATGTTGCATGGCGAGGCAACACTGGAAGAACTTGAGAAAGCAATCGTGGACTCACGGCCGGTACCTGAGTCATGGAAATTTATGGAATCATAAAGCCGCGAAGCCGAGTATCGATGATCGTTCTCGGACCGTGTCAGGTCAGCAACTTCCCAGCTGAATATCTCTGTGAACAACGTGCTTCGTGAAGTGCAAGAACTTCCTCCTGGCAATCCAGTGGTGGTCGATCCCAAGGTGCTGATGGCATCGAAATTCTTGGCGTAATAGGTGAGAAATCTGCTTTTTCACTTGGAGAGAACAAAACCGGTTTACTGGTAACCTTCAATATATTGCGTTAATATTGTTTTATTTTATTTTTCGTTCAAAATCGATTGGACACCAGCTTTGACACCTAGGACCTAGCATTTGCCATTGCACATCATGCCCGCCTATTCAAATGTCATTTACTGATACAAATAGCCTCGTCCTACATGAGTTGTTGGAAGGCTAGGGTGACGTGTAGGTTTGCGAAAGACATGTAAACATCTAGGGCGTTCGTGGAGGCAGGTGCTGCTCAACATGGGTAGAACATGTCGAGTTGGAACGGGGTTTCTCAGGAGCATCTCTTGTTTCCAACACGTTCATGCCACAGCCGGCACGTTGCGGAGACTGGGTTTTGCTTTCCTCTTCTCACTCCTCTCTGTATTCATATGCAAGTAATGACGTGTGAACCACGCTCAAAACCCCATTGTTCATTTGTACGGACCGGGAGGGGCAATAAGGACCTCCGTTGTCGCAGTTCACAATGTACGAAAACAAGAATACGCCTTTGCGAATCCAAAGGCAACGGTTGCATAAGCTAAAACATGATTCATTCTTTCAACCAGGGATATGGAAGTATCCACAGATTCAAGCTTGTCGGACAGATGGAGGCTGGCCACGGTGTATTGGACCAACATGTACAAATGTGACGACATGTGTTTGCATTTGCATAAGGACAAGTTCATTGAACATGCACTTCTGGTCCATTTCGATCTTCAGATTGGTGGCACAACCCTCACCAACTCCTCGGTCACAGAATAGATGACTTTTTGCCACTGATTCTGGCTGCTTGATTAGGAGAGGGGGTTGACCCTCCATGAAACAAACCACAGGTAAACCTCGGGTGAAGGGTGACAAACTGAAAATCATAGCGGGTCCTGGTATTTTCCGGCAAAAGGCATCATTGATTAGCATCATTTTAACGCAACGGATCACTACTGTACTGTGTTTGCAGAGCGCGACCTTGCCATGTTATGCCATGTTTGAGACAAGGTGCTGGGCCCTCTGCCGAAGGTGGAAACAAGAGAGCTTTTGCGGGACATGCCACTTGAAGATGGTGCTCTGGCAGAACTAATGCCCGGGATGGATGCAGCCGATGTTATGATGGTATTGCATTTTGGGGAAGGATGATGAAGCACGATCATCCGACGACAAGAAAACCATCATTTTTCCAGGCAATCAAACCACTGCCAGTAGTAGACGTGCAGGATCAGCTTGCCAAGTTTCCCAGAGCTGAGTGGCACTCCTGAGGTACGATGTTGCACAAGATTTTTGGCCACAAGCCTCGCAGAGCATCTGACGTCCAACGTCCCAAGAAAGATGATAGTTGGTATAGTTGGTGGCGCTACTTCACTGAACTTTGCAGGACGCTAGGCCTTCAGCACTAAGATCTGGAAAGTTGAACACCTTGCTGCCATCAGGATTCTATGATCAAAGATCATCAGGGGCCTAAAAACCCCAACCCAGAACATCACGCTTTTTCTTGACGTCTAGATACGTTCTAGCACATGTCGATTCTTGATCACGTTGACACATTCTCGTTGACTATCGTTGACTTGAATTGATGTCTGTCACTCATTCTTAGGGTCTTTAGGTAACAACAGAAAATGGCGGAGAATTATATATAGATATTTGATATTAATGATATTATATTATATGTGTTGAAATATTTGATTACACGATTTGTTGGTGTTCGGGTGCTGGTTCTTGAGTCTTTTCACTACATATTCGTGTTGGTATCCATTGTTGGTTTCAAAAGGGACACAATGGAAGACAATTGGACAATTTTCAATGCACTGAAGCAGCTTTCTTTTGCCAATGCCAGGGCTGTTTAATACTTCTATCACTATTGAGAACAACACCAGTTGTGACAAACATGCCAATGAGCTGCATGACTTTAGGGTGGAGGGAGGGAATTGAAGATGTTGAAGTTGGGCTCAAAAATAGGAGCCCAGCTGAAACTTGTTTTTTCCGGGGTGTCTCTTCTGTTGGGAGATGGCAACCCGCGTGCGCTCGGCGGATGTTCTACCCGGCGAAGACGAGGTCAGAGCAGTTTCAACCGTCACTGAGGCGGTGCGCTTGTTGCGAGTGCCGACAACGATTTGGGAATCCTTTTTAGAGCAGGTTGGCAATCCAGGGCAGGAACTGAGGATCATTGCGGCGCTCCCTGCGCACATCGTAGTGCAGGCAATTGGTCAGGCACAAGTTGCAGGAGTTGGATTGTCGGCCACCGAAGCCGCACATGTGGGGCTAGTGTGGCGGGTTGCTAGGATGGCCGTTTATCTCAGAAAAGGAGGAGACATTCAATTGTTTGAGGACGTGGATCCTTGGGTGCCTCGTGAACAAAACAAGGCTCCTGCACAAGTTCAAGGGCAAGTTGGAAAGGGAAACGGACTGAAAGAGAAGGTCCTCAAGATGTCAGCTTTAGTTGATCAAGCTGACGAAAGTGAACTGATGCCACCTGATCTGCAGACAGTGCATGCTGGGTCACAAAGGTACTTGCAGGTCATGGGGGATTTGCCAATGGAAGAAGAAGAACCAACAGACGCCCAAATGGCTGCGCTGGACAAGAGGGTGAACCAGTTGGGGCAGGCACCGTACGTGGACATGGGCGTATGGTTGCCTTTCGGGAGGAGAGCCCTTCGAAACCAAAAGATGAGGGCTTTCTTCCCGGTGGGCGATGGCACGTTCGTGGCACGAGAGTTTCCTGGGCCTCAGAACTTCATGCAGTGGCAGGCGAGTTGGAAGGTCTTCAAAGTAGCTGCAATCTCCTTGGACATTTGCTCGATAGCTTCATTGCTCTTGTACGAGAAGGCCATCGAGAAGATGACAATACAATGGCCGAGAAACTGGGGGCTCATAGCCCATGCGGACGACAAAGCTCGAGCTGAAAGGCTGGAGAGAGTGAGGCGGCAATTGGTCGTGGACATGAAGAATGGCAAGAACGTTCCGATGGATTTCACAGAGGACAAACCGTGGTCAGTGGTCTTTCGTTTGGTGTCTCAGGATGAAACATATTGGAATGACCAGGTACGGCACCCAGCTACAGCATGGTTGGCTTCGGGATCAAAGGGTGCTCCAATGGCATCGTCAGAGGCCTTGGCACTGGCGCACTTTCCTGGACTTTCTGAGGGTCAAGAGGTGGAAGGCAGCAGCGGTGACAAAGACGAAAGACGCAGGCAGGCAAACAGGGACAAGAGAGCAGCGAAGAAGAGACGCGCTCAAGCTGAACGTGAAGAGTTGGCAAAGTGGAGAAGCACACCAGGATCTTCGAAAGGTGCTGGATCGGGAGGCAAGGGCAAGGGCAAGATGCAGGGCAAAGATCAGACAGGAGAAGAGATATGCTACTCCTGGGCCAAGAACAATGGGCCGTGTGCAGGTTTGAGCCCTGGCAGTGAGTGCCGATCAAAAGTGAAACGTGCACATAAGTGCCAAATTTGTTTGTCACCAGGGCACACGAATGACCAGTGTCCGAAGAAGTAACTGCGCTTGTTTGGAAAACCTGGGCTTCTCCGTTGCTGACGTGATGGATCAAGAAGTCCTTTTTGGTGTTTTTCATGTTGTGCAAGGGCATCACAAAATCGGGGCATAGCATGGGAATACAGTTTTCTTGATTGTTTTGCTTGCCTGGTGAGAGTTGACGGCACTTGGACAGTTGATGTTTGGGGCAAACTTTCATGGATGTTGCAGCCGTTTTGCATGATGAGCAACAACTCAAGCTCGTCAAAACCTGTGGACGCAGACCATGGTTTGAACGCCGAGGTTTCGAAGCGAGTGGTTGAGGCCTTGGAGAACTGCGAGACCTACGGCGAGTTCAAGGAGAGGAGAACGTTTAGATTTCTTCATTTGTTTGCAGGGCCCCGGGACGTGTTGGCAGAAGCATTGAGGGTGGAATGCGAGAAGGAGGGATTCAAGCTAGTGGTTGAATCGTATGACAAACTCATGGACACCAGTCATGATCTTCTTGCAGAAAGACCGTTCACGGACATCCTGCAGAAAGCCAAGGATGACCAATATGATGGGGGTCATGCCGGGTTTCCATGTGGAAGTTTTTCAAGGGCAAGATACAACACGGAGGGAGAGGGTCCCAAACCTGTGAGATCAGGGTCAGAAATCTATGGCCTGGCGACGAACAGTCAGGCACAGCAGCAGGAGGCAGATAGAGGAACCGTCATGGCAGTGAGATCGGCGATGATCATCAACGAGGTCATCCAGAGCCAGAGACGGAGGGCAGTTCCGTCAGTGGGCACCTTGGAGAATCCTCCTGGAAGCGAAACAGGTGAAGAAGGACCTGCATGGGCGCTGCCGGAGTTGAAGTCCTTTGAGAAAGACTTGGGAGCGTCCACAGCACTCTTCAACACATGTGCATACCAGTCCAAGGTGAGGTACAAGTGGTTTAAACCGGGGCGCTTCACGGGCTGCTTAGCTGACCTGAGCATGCTGTCGAAGAAGTGCGCGTGCCCTGGATGGAGTCGACATCAGTCATTGGTGGGCAAGAACATGACGGCCAGAGCAGCGGAATACCCGGAGGAGCTTTGCAAGGCCTATGCAGCTTTGGTGATCAAATCGTTCAAGACCACCATACAGATGGAGTGGTGGAGAGCGACTTTGAAAAGGAAGAAGGAAGAGGTGTCCGAGGCACAGCTTCGATGGTTGGCTAGCAAAGCCAAGAGACAGTTGCCACCAGTCACAGCGCAGGACTTGTCGGCATCAAGAAGGGTGTGGATGGCGGACAACGTGGACACCAGTGAAGGGCCGACAGATGGACCTTCAAAGAAGAAGAGACGAGAGGGCGAGAACGCTCACTACGTGGGGGGCATGCGAAACCCCGCAAAGGCGGTCAGCAGGCTCAACAAGGTAGCAGAGACGGGGATGGACCTCAGGAGACTGTGGACGAGGTTTCTGAGAGAATATCCTCAGGCACTTGAGACAGCCGAAGAATATGGTGGAGAAAATTGTCAGCTGAAGGAGAACGTTCTGAAGGAGTGGACAACATGTGTCGAGCGCTTCTTGAAGGTCAGGGACTTTGATGAAGTAGTGCTGAGACAGCCGGGCAGGTTTGTGTCACCCTTGAATGCACGCCTCTTTGAAGCATGGCGGAAACACTCCGGGGACCCTGAGATGGATTTGGTGTCTTGGATCCGAGCAGGGACCCCTCTTGGCATGACGGAGAACATCCCTTATTGCAACATTTTTCCGATGACGGAAGACGAGGAAGGGGAGTTGGAGAGCATGCCAGACATGGAGGCGCAATTGGGGGCCGAAAACTATAAGAGCTTCGTCGAGGAACCTGAACATGCACATGCAGAAGTACAAAGGTATCTGGAAAAGGGTTTCTGCATTGAGCTCGACGAGGAGGAGCTACGCCAACAGTTTCCGGTGGGAACGGTGAGTAAACTAGCCCTCATCATCAAGACCAAAGAGGACGGCACGGTGAAGAGGAGGGTCATAATCGACCTGTTGCGCAGTGGTGGCAACGGCAGGTGTCGCATACGAGAGAGGATCGTACTGCCACGCATCCAAGACGTCCTGGACAGCCTGAGGTACCTGCGTGAAAACCGATTTGGCCTGGTCCTCGAAGCTCAAGGAGAAGATTGGGATGACCAGGATCAGTGCGACGAAATTGAACTGGTCTCAGCAGATCTTTCGGACGCATACTGTCACCTGGCGGTCCACGAGAACGAGTTGGGCAATTGCGTGGCTCCTTCAACAAGACCGGGAAAGTATCTGGTGTTCACCGCAATGTTGTTTGGCTTCAAAGGAGCTCCTCTAGTGATGGGAAGGTTTGCGGCGACCTTGGCGAGACTACTGCAGTCCTTGATCCCGGCAGACGAGATGCAGTCGCAACTCTACATGGATGATCCTTTGTGGATGCTACAGGGACCAAGATGGAGGAGAAGAGAAAACCTGGCACTCATCCTCTACATGTGTGGGGCTTTGGGTGTGAAGCTTCAATTTCGAAAGGGTTTCAGAGGCACGGACGCAGTGTGGATTGGAGTGCGCATGGAACTCAAGCTGGCGGAGGACGTGGTCATCTTGTCCATCCCGCCCAAGATGATGAACGAGGTGAAGGCAGTGTTGGAAAGTTGGCACAACAAAGGGATGGTGCCATTGAGAGAGGTCAGGGCGGTCACCGGGAAGCTGTCCTGGATATGCGGAATCATCGTGAGGGCTAGGTGGTGTGTCAACATCCTCTATGCTGTGATCGCCCAGACCTTAAAGGACGTGGAGGCGGAATCAGAAAGAGCAGCTAGAAGAGATGACACACGACCGAAGCCGTACATGGTGGCAGTTCACAGGGTTGAACTACCTCGACAATGGTTCATCGCAATGTTTGAGAAGCCGGACAAGTTTGCATTGAGGCGCGAAGGACTTCGAGAAGTACCAGCCCAGTTTGCACTGATAACCGACGCATCACCGAGGGGGATAGGTGCAATTCTGGCGGACATCGATCGGCGAAACAGATCGATCATACCCCTGGAGGCCCTGGAGATTCCTTTCACACAGGAATATGCGAAGTGGATGGGAATTCCCTGGGATGATCCGGCGGGGCAGGGGCCGTTGGAAGCTTGGGCAATCTTGATGGCAGTCAAGAAATGGAAGCACAGGATCAAAGGCCAGTCGCTTTTGATACGTGCTGACAGCGTGGTGGCCTTGGCGACGGTGACGAAGGTGGCGGCACCCTCCCCAGTGTTGAACTGGATCGGAGCTGAATTGGCTCTGAAGGCGGAAGAACTCAATCTGGGGAAGTTCATCACGCAGCACATCCCAGGAGCCTGGAACGTGGAGGCGGACTGGCTGAGTCGTCCCCATCAGCGCGGCCCGATGCCGAAGAGGTTGGAAGGGGTGCCATTGCGTCAGTTTCCGAAGGAACGAATCATGACGTCGGCACTGAAGCCACCTGGAATTGACGCTGCACTGAAGTGGGGCCAAGCATCCAAAGTGGTGTCGGCCGCCTTTGAAGAACTTTGAGACATCCGAAGCTGGCAATAAGGAAGAGGCCGACTCTTTCACAGCTTTGGGGAATGAAGGGTTTGGTATTGATTGTGTTGCGGCATGTCTCATGGTAGGGTTCTTCTCCAATTAGTTTGATAGGATTGACAAGAGTTTTATTTCAAGGGTTTTATTTCAGAGGGTTGCAAACCTTTTGTATCACTGCAGCGTGGGGAGGATCAAGACAGCACGATGGAGGTGCAGGTAGTGACAGGAGAGCTCTCTGAGACCGAAAGCTGGTCTTGGGTGGAATTTTTCGTGTTGTTTGGATGGCTCTCCGGGCTATGCACATGCTGCCTCATCCTCCGCAACCTGGGCAAATGCGTCTGGGAGCTTGGAGACCCGCGGAAACCAAGGAGCAGGGAGGTGGCGGGCGTGCAAGTGGAGTCAAGAGGGGTAGATGTGTCAACGCAAACGATCTTATGCACTCCTCCAGATTCTTTGACCCAGATGGACAAGATGAAGAACAACAGGGCAGTCACACCAGAGCCAACAGCAGTTTACTCCTCTTTCAGAAGGGGGGGCAACAGGGAACTGCTCACCCAGGACATGGTAGTGCGTGCCTTGCCAGTTCTATCAGACGTGGACCAAAGAATCGAGATGGCAAAACTGAGAGAGAGCTGGAAAAGATCCTAGGCAGAGGCTGGGGAGCAGGGCAACAAAGAGTGATCACCTTCGTCCCGGAAGCAAAGTACAAGATAGACCGCAAACAAGGTGAATCGCAGGCAAAGGCGGAGAAAGAAATGGAGGAGAACCTGGCACGTGATCAGAGGAAAGTCACGGGCATGAAACTGGCATACAAATTAGCAGCTTCGAACAAGGACGTCGAACGCGCGGTGGACAAGCTGAAGGCCAACTTTTGGGCTCCCTCATCCAGGGCCGCGAGAGATGTCAAAAGAGCTGAAGTTGTGAAGCTGGCAAAGCTGGTGGCAGGGGCAAACGAGCAAGTGTTCCCCTTATCACAAGGGGTGGTTGAAGGGGTAGCGGCTTGCTTGAAGGACGCCAACATGAAGTCGGGCGACCAGTACTTGAATGAACTCAAACTATGCCATGTAGAACGAGGCTTCGATTTGCCACCCTGGCTAGTGAGAACACTGGCAATGTGCAAGAAGGCCCTGATGAGAAACAAGGGACCGGTGAAGAGAGCAGTGGAGGCAAAGCTGGAGGACGTGGAGGAGGATCAGTGGCTCAAGAATGGCGCTGATTGTGAAAACGGCATCAATCCGGCACTGACATACGCATGGGCATGTTTGTGGATGCTGCGGGAGATAGAAGCCAGCGAGTGCAAATGGGAGCACATACAAACCGACCACCAACGCAAAACGGTTTCGTTGACGATTCCAATCTCAAAGATGGATCAGGGAGCAAAAGGTGTCAAAAGAACCTTGCAATGCTGCGGTGAGGGTGTGTGTTCCAGGTTCTGCGCCTGGCAAGTCTGGCTGCGCATCGAAGGAGAATTTCCAAAACGCAGGGAAAAGAAGGGCTATGTGTTCACGGACAAGTTCAAGGGCAAGTTGAGCAAGAACAAAATGATAGAATCTTGGAAGAAGATCACCAGAAAACAGGTGACAGGACACTCTGCCCGAAGGAGTGGAGCCATGGAGCATGTGCGGAGAGGCTTGCAACTGCAAGAATTGGCCTTTCTGGGGCGGTGGAAGTCGGCGGTGGTGTTGACCTACGCCAACGATGCTTTACAAGAAGTTCCAACCAATAGAAATGGAGTGGAAGGAAAACAAACGATGAAGAGCACGGGGACACCTATGCCTTGGACACCCCATTGCCAGCCTGCAACACCCATGTGTTTGACGCCCTGGGTACCAGAGACGGTGGGTAAACCTGCTCAAGATGAAGGTCGCGAAGAGAGGCAACCAGAAAAGACAAAACCCACGGATCAGTCCCTGTGGGTGTCCACATGTGACAGTAGAAAAGGAAGAAGGGTGTGGCATAGAGTCACAAATGCAGGATGGCAAATACCTATGGCAAGGTGGAACACCGCGTGCGGATGGAACTTCACCAAGAACCCAGAAAAGGTGCGCCTGTCAGTGTCACTCCAGTTCAACCAGACACGATGTCGAAAATGCTTGGAGGTGATGAAATCCCGCGACCAAGTCAAAGAGGGCAGAAGTTTGGCAGGCTTCATCACAGGTGAGGCTGTAGCCATGTTCAACCCTTGCATGGCATCGTAGATGAAACTGATGTCAGTGACTGCTGACAAACACCAAGCAAAAATGGAAGACGGAGTCTGCACCTTGGAGGGTGGGTGGGCATGACTACGTGCTGCGAGTGAATGTTTGAGAACAACACCAGTTGTGACAAACATGCCAATGAGCTGCATGACTTTAGGGTGGAGGGAGGGAATTGAAGATGTTGAAGTTGGGCTCAAAAATAGGAGCCCAGCTGAAACTTGTTTTCCCATCCCTTTTGCAAATCCCACCCACAAGTTTCGTGAATTTCTAGCACAGAGGGCAGAAGTTTGGCAGGCTTCATCACAGGTGAGGCTGTAGCCATGTTCAACCCTTGCATGGCATCGTAGATGAAACTGATGTCAGTGACTGCTGACAAACACCAAGCAAAAATGGAAGACGGAGTCTGCACCTTGGAGGGTGGGTGGGCATGACTACGTGCTGCGAGTGAATGTTTCTATCACTATCTATATATATATATATACTATATATATATTTTATATTATATATATATTATATGTCCAGTTGTATTTAAAGACATGCCGGTTGGAGTCCGGAGGATCATCGTGGGGCATCCGTGGTTCGAGTTGTTGATCTCAGTGGCCATCATGGTGACTTGAAGAAATTCAAAAATTTGTTCACCTTGATGTGCCTGAGGGTCTAGTTATGTCTAGTTCTTTTGGCCAAGCCAAAGTCTATCTTTTTGGAAGGGGCGAAAATTGACTTTGGGAGCTTTGGAATGAGCGTATCATTCCAGATATTTCCAGATGTCTGTTGGCAGGTTTGACGTCAGTTTCCTGTTGGCATTTGAAGATGTTTCAGGCTGAAGAATTAATCACAGAACTGAACCTTTATTTCCGGGCAACTGTGCTCATGGGCTGCTACTGCATGAAGAAATTGCGCACGGTGTGCAACATGATATATCTTCCCATGAGAGGTGTTTCATGGCACGACACATTTATTATGGCATGATAGGCCTAACATTAACATCAATCAAATGATGAGACACATGACAATTGGGTTTATGTCATCATGAGTTCCTATGGCGTGACAAGCTACCATTTTTGCCAAAACCCGCCTGCACGTCATGCATGCTCTTCAGTCGCTGAGTAGGTGCTAGCAGGCACCAACACTTGTAGCGTTGGAATCACAACTTGCAACACAACTATATACTGGATATGATTCAAGGCAGGGATCTTTCAAGGACACTTTCATGCCAGGTGTTTTTTTGTTTAAATGTTCTTAGGGGCTGAAATGTTGTACCCTTAGCATCCCTTGGCTGAGGGGGGGGTGGATTTTGCAGGCACATATTGTATCCTTTTGTCACGTCCTTATGCTCGGAGTTGGCAACTCATAGTTGCAGAGATGTGCAGAGATGGAAGGTGAACACTGCAAAGTTCAAGGTTTTAAGATGATGCAGATTTATTTTTGGGAGAAACCCATTAACGATCATTTGTCCCCAAATTATCCCTATATATGTCTTTGGTAGTTAAAACCCTAGCCACATCGGACGGAGAGACCAAACTGGCATCCGATGAAAGGTGAACTCCGTGATGCTGGGCGTGGAAAGCCAAATGTCACTGACACGCAGCAAGGAGGACCTTGCCTGGTCCAAGTGTTTCGCTTGCAAGGAGAATGTTGGGTGATCTGGCGCGTGTGTTTTTCGACTCTGATTGCTTTTATAACGGTATTTTAGAGACCTGCTCATTTGGATGATTCATATGATTCTTTTCAGGCGTGTCTCACTATGTCTCAGTGTGCGGAGAGGTTTCACATTGTCCATTTTTGCATACGAGTTTTTCACTGACAGGGCCACAGAGCTTGGGCAAGAAACTGATTGCTCAACTGAGGATTGCCGAGGTTTGTTTTTTGTCGATTTTCACAGTTGCTACTTGCCCGTGTTGGACACATGCACACAGTTGCACAAGCTTCACTGCAACGACATGATGGACATGGATAGAAATGGATAGAAATGGATAGAAATGGATAGAAATGGAGGCTTGATTACGAGGCCCAAGGATGTCATTGATGTCATTGATGTCACGGCAAATCCAAAAGTAGTTTGATGTAGTTTGCTGAGGAAATTCTTCAAATGAAATACTGCTGTGCTAAGGAGATTCTGCTGAGATTGACTGCACGTGGATGGCAGCTTGGCATAGCTTGCTCAGCTTGGCTGCGATCTCCTTGTATTGTATATATATATATAATTATAATATATATATATATATGTATCAATAGCTTCGAATAGCATAGCACTATATAGCACTGAGCAAGAGAATGGCATAGATTCCGTTGCAGCTTGGCCTTCCTGATTGTTTGAACTTTCAACCAGATCTGTGGCAAGTTAAAAGCATTGCTGGAGCTTTCTGGGCGGCATGTTTTTTAAAGTGGCTGCTGCTCTTGTGGCGTTTTCAGTAGCTTTCAGCTTCAGTGGGTTTTAGTGGCTCCCGTCTGTGGCTTCTTTCAGTGACTTTTCAGTGGCTTTTGCGGCTTGCGTTGCGGCTTTCGGTGGTTTTCTGCGCCTATCAGTGGCTTTCACTGGCTTTTGTGGCTTTCAGTGGCTTTCGGAGGCTCTCAGTTGCTTTTATAGTTTCTTGGCTTTTGGCTTTTCAATAGCTTTTCAGCAGCTTTTCGATTGCTTTTTAGCGGCTTTTCAATGGCTTTTTCGTGGCTTTTCTAGCTTGCTTGGTGGCTTCTTGGCCCTTTTGGATTCTGGGCTTTTGTGGCTTTTTGATTTTTGCGACTTCTGCGGTTTGTCGCTTTCTTGGCTTTTGTGGCTTCTTCGCTTTGGTGGCTTCGTGTCTTCTGTAGTTAGTTTTTGCGGCTTAAAACTTCAAAACTTCTATGGTTTTTGTGGGGTTTAGCTCCAAACTTTGCAAATACGGAGGAAACAAGACATTTGTAAGTCCAAAATGCTGCAAATACCGAGTAAGACATGTTGGCTTCAAAGTGTGTTGCAAATAGGAGGGGATAAACAAACAATAAAAAAAACTACATAGCTCCACAATGCTACAAGTAGCAAGGCAAACATTGCCCCAAAATGCTGCAAATACTGTGGAATCAGGAATCGTGCAAATAAGAGACGTTATTTCCAAATTGTTGTAATTTAACAGCAAGGAAAGCAGCCGTATGGAAAAACAATGCAACAATATGCAACAATATGAGTTCCCGTCCCTTCTGGACCAAGGAGAGTTATAAAGGATGGATGGTTTCTATTTGATAGTACGCTGGTCCTCATCGCATACGTTGAGCAGTTCGTCGAGTTATTTTCCAGCGGCGGAGATTCAGGGTATGCGCAACAGGCGCATGGGCCCTTAAACATAATTCAACCACAGAAGTGTTGGATTGGTCCAAAGAACCATACTGTATGGCCAGAATAGGTTTAACATGTTTAAACACAAAGCCTTCAAGCAGGTGCTAGTCCTTCGAACCACGCGCCTTTTTCGTTTGATCCGGACGTTTCGAATGTGCCGGGCTCAGTGTGTGCAGCTGTTCGCGTTTGGCTGAAAACTATCCAGCCATATACAGCCCAAAGCAATTTTGCCCGCCCATGGGCACATAAGTAAACATTGTGCAAATGTCGGCTGTGTATCGGATATACGGACGTATGATTAATTTACATATTATTTAATATACGGTAATTGTTTGTAGTTTCAAGCACCCTGCCAACTTTTCCCGACTGAACCGATTCTCACCAGAGACTGACTCATCCTGAGCCCTGAGGATAAAGCAGATCAGATCTATTTGGAGATTGGTGTATGGTCTTTTTGCATGTTGCCGCTTGCCTCACTAAAACAACATTTTCGGACCGAGTTACAGCCGCAGCGTCGCTGCATGCTTAGGCGAGACCATAATATCTACATTTATGTTGCTTTTCATCGCTTCTTGTCTGAAGAAGCTCAGCTTGTGCTTTCCGTGCTTTCTTGGCACAAGATCGCCAAATGATAAATATCTTCATTATTTTACTTATGTGATGCCTTTGGCAAGTATTTTGTTCACAGACTTCAGGTTTTGTATGTGTTTGGCGTCATGGGCCTTGACCTCAGAGATCACAACTTTTCCCTTCTAAAGAAAGGGAATCAGGGTTGCAAGTGATGTGGCATGATGTTGCTTTGCATTTTGGGTCAGTTGATGTCAGTTGCTGTTCTCGCATCCTGCTGACGCTAGGCCTTGAGCTGATAACCAAAGATGCGGAGCTTCGAAAAGATCCGGAGATCGATGCCCTGGTCGTCGACAGCTTCAGTTCCTCTGCAACGAAGTATTGCAGCTGATGCCGTGCTTCCCGCACGTCTTTGCGGATCACTCCCTTTGTTGCTCCGAGGTTCAATCCCCCTGGCCATGATGACATTAGTTCGATTTGATGCTTGGCCACACTTAGCATCCTAGTCTTGATAGTGTTGATAGCTACAGTACTGAATGCCACCCACATTCCAAGTTGCTGATCGGTTTTGAACAACTTTGACACCTTTCTGATCCTTTATGCATTTTGAGTTCGAGGTCACGATGGATTCTATATCTGTAATCTATGTACCTTGACATGGATCTGGCAGTGCTTCTGTATAAATGCCCCTCATTGGCTTGTTTCTGTACATTCTGGAGGAATACAGATTCTGCTTTCGGTTTGAGCTGCATCAGTAGTTTGCAGAGCTCTTTGAAAGATTTTGAAAGTGGTTTCCGGCATTACCAGCTCAATTGCTGTCACGCAACTTCATGCACAATATGTGACAGCCAAGAGGGACACCTGATGCATCGGGATTTCCTCTTGACATTCAAGGCGCCTTTGATAAAGGCAAAGGCATTAGTACTGGGCTTGTACTTTGGCCTGCTGATTTGCGTTGACTCTTGGTGGCAGGTTGTGGCGGGATGTGGCAGGTGTTCTTTAGCGAATGTTACAGAAGAACATGGCGTAGATCCATTCGCAGGTTCTGAGCCATCACCGGCTACATCCGGCTACCAAGGTCTCCATTTCCCTTATGAACCTTGTTACGGCAGTGATGGTGCCATGTCTGAACATCTTGATGAGTGGAGTTTGCTTTGGACATAATCTGTGATATGTATGCGGCAATTACCAGGTAGCTGGCATAGAGGATTCTCAATCCAAGCAGGGCACAGTGCTGGAGTGCTGGCAGATGCGACTGAACCGGAACCTCCCCAGTCATTTCGCATCACTTTTTCTAGAATGCTGCTGCTCAAAGGTTGAAGGGGCTCTCGAGCATGCTCGCCAAGAGAAAGAGAAACTCGGAGCATGATGTGCACAGTTGGGGAAGTCTATCTTGGTCGGGGGTTCGCTTGGAGCGCCGGAAAGTGGATCGCTTCGAGCGCGGGAAAGTGGATCGCTTGGAACGCCGAAAGGTGACACGTACAGACACATAAGAGATACATAGCGCTATAGCTACATATAGACACAGAGACATAGACACATAAATGGACACATTCATACGTGCCTACACGCTGAAGCACTGAAGCACGCACGTAGTGACATTGATAGATGCACGCAGGTACACATTCCAGGCGGTAGTCCCTCCAAGTAACCGAACCCGTGTCCCAGTCCCGTGTCCCCAAGTTAAGCCCTGAAGGTCTGATTCTCTGGTTCTGATCCACCATGCTTGCCCCCTAAACCCACCCCATGTCCCAGCCCTGTGTCCCAACTTGTCCCCTAAACCCGCCCCATGTCCCAGCCCCCTGTCCCCGAGTTAAACCCTAAAGGTCTCATTCTTTGGTGCTCTAAGTGATCCATTTTTTGGTGCTCTAAGTGATCCCATGGTGCTCTAAGTGATCTGGTGCTCTAAGTGATCCACTTTCCGGTGCTCTAAGTGATCCCCTAAGCGTCTATCCTGCAAGGCAAATTTCTGCCACTGTCCTGCCACTGCTCTGCCACTTATCTACAGGGACGATGCGAAATTGGCAAAAGCCAGAGCCAAACAAATGGTTCCGGAGATTATCCACCTCTTCGACCAGATTGATATTGACGCTTGGTAGAAGGATTGTCATTTGATTTAATTGTTTTGGTGTGAGAATCGTGATGTGAGGCCATTGTGCGGAATTTCACAGTGTCACAAATAGCTGATTATAGCTGCATGTTGATTGCTTTGCAGGCCAACAGTCTTGGATTTTCACGCCCCGCATGAATGCATGACTGACATTGACTGCCTATTGTTAGCGTTTCTTTTGTGCAAATCAGACCAGTGCATCAGTCATGCCAATCTTCACTTGTGACATTGCAGTGGTATCGGATGTTTTTGGTCACCGATGGGAAGCCAAAACATGCCAAAATATGCCAGAACCAATCGCTGAAATGTCACCTTTGGCCAGCTGCGTTCCAAATGTTCCAAGGATGGCAGCGGAGAAGTTGACTTAAAGGAGTGTTGAACTTAAGGACCCAAGGACAAAAGGGACATGCAATCGAATGAAATGGTGCAGCTGATATATAGTATTAATTAGTATTAGCATAGTATTAGCTATTGTTGGCTGATGATGGTTACATTTTTTGATTAGATCTGATTAATTACTGTCAGTAGTATAAATCACTATGGGCTCAACATGCTCAACTCATGTCACTGCAACTGCCCAAGGATGGCCAAGTTTGGGGAGGATGGACTCGTTCCAGACCTGTTGTTTGAGAAGGCCTCAGTGGACAGTTCCTTGGATTCCATATGATCTGGTTGGTGGTTTGGAACATTTTTTATTTTTCCATATATTGGGAATAATAACCCCAACTGACTAATATTTTTCAGAGGGGTTGAAACCACCAACCAGTGATTTATAATGATTTATATAATCATGTCTTTGGCTGAAAGAAAGCCACCATCGAATTTGAATGAATTTGAATTTGAATGAATTTGAGGAATCATGCGCCGCAAGTAGGATGCTTGCTGCCAACTCTTGATCCCAACAAAGGCATGGCCGATCTGTTCGAAACCCTCGACGTGGATGGTTCTGGTGTCATCAGTCGCAGCTTGGATTCAGAGCGAGTTGATGAAATGCTCAGTGGACTCATGTGGACTCAAACAGCCCAATGTGGCATGAGGGGTTCTTACATGTTCTTACCATGAACATCCGACATCGGACATGTTTTGAAGCATTATTTATCCCCACCCCCTTGGGCAGCTTTTTTTTGGGGGGGGTCAAAAAATGTAAGTTACAAACAAATAGGGGGGACCCCCCCGTCAAAAAATGTAAGTTACATTTTCGCGACCCCCTAACTTACATTTTTTTGCCCCCCCCCCAATGAAAAAATAAAAAATGAGGGGGTCAAAAAATGTAACTTCCAATTTGTGACCCCCCCCCTCATTTTTTAAAAATTCACGTTTTTTCTATTTTCCAGGGGGGGGGCACGGGGGGGGACGTGCAGATCGAATCATCTCAAAATACCCCGAGCAATTTTTAATGATAAAATATGAAGTAATATGAAATAATATGAAAACCACTACTATTCTTGCTGCTATTATATACTCTATTACTACTATTAATTCGTATTAATATTGCTGCCACTAGTACTACTAGTACTACTAGTACTACTAGTACTACTATTTGGTACTATCTTGTGCTACCTTATTCTGTTTCTATTCATTTTTATACTATCTTCTGCTGTTCCCGGTTTGTTTGGATCATGCACCATCTGCAAGATTGCCTGCATATTGTTGCTGATGCTGTTTGCATCTGCTTGCTAGATTTCATAAGCGCTTACCTTAAGGTCACGGTCTTCATGTGTTTTTGCAGAAATTTGGAAAACTCCCCTGCAGCTACTTACATTTTTTCATACCAGGCAATCCCAGGCAAAGTGCGCAATGTAACATATTGTAACATTGGATCTGACATTTTCTTGCATGATCTTGCATCAACTTACATGTTTCACGCTTAAATAGGGAGCATCAAGAACCACTGGAAACCATAAGAAACTTCAAGAAACTATATATTATATAACTATCAAAGGAACTTGTCAATATTTGTGAATGTCGGTGGTGAACCCATACCAATCTTAGTCATCTACAGTGATCTAGGTGCCCCATGTCGTTCTCAGCAGATGCTCCTTCAGGTGCAGTGCCAGCCTAGGCAGGCAGAAAAATGTTTTTGCAAACTTTCTGCCAGCGGCACCTTCTGCTACATAACTTTCTGCTAGCGGAGCCTTCTGCTACATATATTTCTGCTAGGGGAGCCTTCTGCTAGATAACTTTCTGCTAGCGGAGGCTTCTGCTACATAACTTTCTGCTAGGGGAGCCTTCTGCTACATAACTTTCTGCTAGGGGAGCCTTCTGCTACATAACTTTGTGCTAAGGGGAAGCCTTCTGCCACATTTTCTGCTCCTTCAGGTGCAGTGCCAGCCTAGGCAGGCAGAAACATGGTTTGCAAGATATGTCACATTATGATACAATAGCATACAATATGTCACCTTGTGACATAATGTGGGAATCAGATGGCGTAAGATAGAATAAGAACAAGAAGTAGTAATTAAAATGTAAGTTTGACTGTGTGGACATAGAGATCTCCTGCAAAACACCATCATTTTCAACACCTAAAGCAGCCTAGCTTACATTTTCAAAAAACGCCGCCATTCACCAGGCAATTCCAGGCAAACTGCACAATGATACGCACATATGCAATCACATGCACAAAAAATGAACATAGAATATCATCCTAGCCATCCAGAATCTACAGTGATCTAGGTGCCCCACATCGTTCACAGCAGATGCTCCCTCAGGTGCACTGCCAGCCTAGGCAAGCAGCAAAATGCTTTGCAAGATAAGGCCACATTATGATACAATAATATACAACATGTCACCTTATGATGCCTTATGACATAATGTGGGAATAAGATTGAATAAGAAGTAGAAATTAAAATGTAAGTTTGACTGTGTGGACATGGGCATCCTCTGGAAAACACCATCATTTTCAACACCTAAAGTAATCTAGCTTACATTTTTCAAGAAACTCTACCACTCACCAGGCAATTCCAGGCAAAGTGCACAATGATGCGCACATATGCACAAAAAATGACATAACATATCATGAAATGACCAAAGGTGATCTCATCTATGCGACGCAAACATGTAAGCTGAAAGCAATAGGGGGGCCAGAATCCCTGCAGCCCACAACACTATCTCAAACACCTTCCCCCAAACAGCTTACTATATAGGCATTATATGGTAATATAATGTAACATCGCATCTTACATTTTCTTGCATGATCTTGCATCAACTTACATCTTTCACGCATAGATAGGAAGCATCAAGAAACCACTGGAAACCATAAGAAACTTCAAGAAACTGTATATTATATAACTATCAAAGGAACTTGTCAATATTTGTGAATGTCGGTGAACCAATACCAATCTTAGTCATCTACAGTGATCTAGGTGCCCCATGTCGTTCTCAGCAGATGCTCCTTCAGGTGCAGTGCCAGCCTAGGCAGGCAGAAAAATGTTTTTGCAAACTTTCTGCCAGCGGCACCTTCTGCTACATAACTTTCTGCTAGCGGAGCCTTCTGCTACATATATTTCTGCTAGGGGAGCCTTCTGCTAGATAACTTTCTGCTAGCGGAGGCTTCTGCTACATAACTTTCTGCTAGGGGAGCCTTCTGCTACATAACTTTCTGCTAGGGGAGCCTTCTGCTACATAACTTTGTGCTAAGGGGAAGCCTTCTGCCACATTTTCTTCTACTTCAGGTGCAGTGCCAGCCTAGGCAGGCAGAAAAATGATTTGCAAGATATGTCACATTATGATTCAATATGTCACCCTATGACATAATGTGGGAATAAGATGGGATAAGAAGTAATAAGAAAATGTAAGCTTGACTGTTTGGACATGGGGATCTTCTGCAAAACACCATCATTTCCAACACCTAAAGTAGTCTAGCTTACATTTTTCAAAAACCTCCGCCATTCACACCAGGCAATCCCAGGCAAACTGCACAAATGTAAAATCCATGCAGCCCACCACTATCTCAAACACCCTCCCCCAAACTGCTCACCTTATATATATATGAAATAGGATCTTGCTTTTTCTTGCATGATCTTGCATCAACTTACATCTTTCGCGCTTAAATAGGGAGCATCAAGAAACCACTGGAAACCATAAGAGACTTCAAGAAACTATATAACTATCAAAGGACCTTGTCAATATTTGTGAATGTCGGTGAGCCCATGCCAATCTTAGTCATCTACAGTGATCTGGGTGTCCCACGTCGTTTTCAGCAAATGCTCCCTCAGGTGCAGTGCCAGCCTAGGCAAGCAGAAAAATGATTTGCAAGATATGTCGCATTATGATTCAATATGTCGCCTTATGACATAATGTGGGAATAAGATGGAATAAGAAGTAATAAGAAAATGTAAGCTCGACTGTTTGGACATGGGGATCTTCTGCAAAACACCATCATTTCCAACACCTAAAGCAGTCTAGCTTACATTTTGCAAAAACCTCCGCCATTATGATTCAATATGTCACCCTATGACATGATTTGGGAATAAGATGGGATAAGAAGTAATAAGAACATGTAAGCTTGACTGTTTGGACATGGGAATCTTCTGCAAAACACCATCATTTCCAACACCTAAAGCAGTCTAGCTTTCATTTTTCAAAAACCTCCGCCATTCACACCAGGCAATCCCAGGCAAACTGCACAAATGTAAGCTGAAAGCAATGGGGGGGCAGAATCCATGCATCCCTCAAACACCCTCCCCCAAACTGCTCACCTTATATATATAATATAGGATCTAGCTTTTTCTTGCATGATCTTGCATCAACTTGCATCTTTCGCGTTTAAATAGGGAGCATCAAGAAACCACTGGAAACCATAAGAGACTTCAAGAAACTATATAAATATCAAAGGACCTTGTCAATATTTGTGAATGTCGGTGAACCCATGCCAATCTTAGTCATCTACAGTGATCTGGGTGTCCCACGTCGTTTTCAGCAATTGCTCCCTCAGGTGCACTGCCAGCCTAGGCAAGCAGCAAAATGCTTTGCAAGAAAAGGCCACATTATGATACAATAATATACAACATGTCACCTTATGGCATAATGTGGGAATAAGATTGAACAAGAAGTAGAAATTAAAATGTAAGTTTGACTGTGTGGACATGGGCATCCTCTGGAAAACACCATCATTTTCAACACCTAAAGTCATCTAGCTCACATTTTTCAAACCACCGCCGTTCACACCTTTCAATCCCAGGCAAACTGCACAAATGTAAGCTGAAAGCAATGGGGGAGCAGAATCCATGCAGCCCACCACTATCTCAAACACCCTCCCCCAAACTGCTCACCATATATATATATATATAATATATATATATAATATAGGATCTTGCTTTTTCTTGCATGATCTTGCATCAACTTACATCTTTCACGCTTAAATAGGGAGCATCAAGAAACCACTGGAAACCATAAGAGACTTCAAGAAACTATATGAATATCAAAGGACCTTGTCAATATTTGTGAATGTCGGTGAACCCATGCCAATCTTAGTCATCTACAGTGATCTGGGTGTCCCACGTCGTTTTCAGCAAATGTTCCCTCAGGTGCAGTGCCAGCCTAGGCAGGCAGAAAAATGATTTGCAAGATATGTCGCATTATGATTCAATATGTCACCCTATGACATAATGTGGGAATAAGATGGGATAAGAAGTAATAAGAAAATGTAAGCTTGACTGTTTGGACATGGGGATCTTCTGCAAAACACCAGCATTTCCAACACCTAAAGTAGTCTAGCTTACATTTTTCAAAAACCTCCGCCATTCACACCAGGCAATCCCAGGCAAACTGCACAAATGTAAAATCCATGCAGCCCACCACTATCTCAAACACCCTCCCCCAAACTGCTCACCTTATATATATAGATATAATATATATATATAATATAGGATCTTGCTTTTTCTTGCATGATCTTGCATCAGCTTACATCTTTCGCGCTTAAATAGGGAGCATCAAGAAACCACTGGAAACCATAAGAGACTTCAAGAAACTATATAACTATCAAAGGACCTTGTCAATATTTGTGAATGTCGGTGAGCCCATGCCAATCTTAGTCATCTACAGTGATCTGGGTGTCCCACGTCGTTTTCAGCAAATGCTCCCTCAGGTGCAGTGCCAGCCTAGGCAAGCAGAAAAATGCTTTGCAAGATATGTCGCATTATGATTCAATATGTCGCCTTCTGACATAATGTGGGAATAAGATGGAATAAGAAGTAATAAGAAAATGTAAGCTCGACTGTTTGCACATGGGGATCTTCTGCAAAACACCATCATTTTCAACACCTAAAGCAGTCTAGCTTACATTTTGCAAAAACACCACCATTCACCAGGCAATTCATGCCAATTCCAGGCAAAGTGCACGAAAAATACTGTATCAAAAAATGACAATATACGACATAGGGTATTATCCCAGTCATCTATAGTCATTGAGGTGCCCAACGTGGTTCTCAGCCGATGCATGCCTAGGTGCAGCGTCAGCCTAGGCAAGCAGAAAGATGCTTTGCAAAAGATGCCGTGTTGTGACATCACTTACGTAGAAATAAGCAAAATGAAACTTGTACACACCTGGACATGGAAATCTGTTGCAAACCACCATTTTTTTTTTATCACCTCAAGCAGTCTAGCTTACATTTTCAGAAACACCACCATGCACCACTGAAAATGATTGAAAGCTGGGTCCCAAACTTCGGCGTCCAATGCCCCCCAACAGGCGTCCTCAGAATCCGGCAGCATCCGGTATCATCTGGTAACTTGATGCGAAAGTATGCAAAAGTATACATGCCAAAATATGCCAAAATGCAGCCTACATGAAAGGACATGTTTTAAACATTACTAATTACTAAACCAGATCATGTGTCAGATTGCGGCAAGCATGCGACGAGCGCTTTGATTTTTGCACTCTCTAGCTATCTCTAGCCTTCTCTAACCCATCTCGACTCCTCACATCTAAAGTAACTTTGCCACAGCGCAGTTCTATTCTGTACACACCCTTGCTGACAGATCGAATCGAATTGATTCATACCACAAACTGGCAAATGACACTGTAGGCACTTGTTGGCCCTACAGGGATTTCACAGAAACATCTAATTGAAACCTGCCTTGATTTTTTTCATACCTTTTCATATCCTTTCATGTCAACTCCGCGTTGCGCTGCCAAACTCAAATCATCTGAATCCCAGACATTCTCAGACCAAATGAATCGCCAGTAGCAGCCGGCATCATCCAGCATCCTGTGTGAGCTGAGTTTGTCACTGGAACCTATGATGGATCCAGCACAATCCATCATAAACCACGCAGTGCGTTGGCTTTTACCGACTTGCCCGCACTACCCCAGCCCCAAGGGTAGCCATTGGTGACGAACTGGAGTTCTATGGCATTCTTGCATCTGGTCAAAGCATATCTAATACTACGAGCACTGCTAATACTATTACGCTACTACTACTAGTACTAGTACTACTACTACTACTACTACTACTACTACTACTACTACTACCACTACTACTACCACTACTGCTACTGCTACTGCTAATAATAATAATATAGAAAAAATAATATACATATATATCTATAACTATATATTCAATAAACAATGACAGGGCCAAAAAATGTAACTTACATTTTTTGAGCAAATGTAACTTACATTTTCTGACCTCCCCCCCTAGTTTTGGACGTTTCCTCTCAAAAAATGTAAGTTACATGTTTTGAGAAAATTACAAAAATGTAACATTATCTTCTTGACCCCCTCAACCCTATTTTTTTGTAACTTACATTTTTTGACCCCCCCCTAGCTTAATAGGTGGGGATCATTATTTCTGGATCTTTCTGGTGGGTTCCGATGTGGCTGAAGGGTTCGAAATCCTTTTTTCCCCACCTGCCAGGTGAGGGTTGTTAGATTTTATGTCAGTTGCCTCCTCCTGCCTCGTCCTCCTCCTCCTCCTCCTCTCCTCCTCGTCCTCCTCGTCCTCCTTGTCATCCTTGTCGTCCTTGTCGCCCTCGTCGTCCTCGTCGTCCTCGTCGTCCTCGTCCAACTGCGACCCGCGATCCACAGTGTTCTCTGCCGGACCTCAACCACGACCATCCACGCCCAGTGTTCCCTGCCGGACCTCAACCACGACCAGCCACGCCCAGTGTGCCCTGCCGGACCTCAACCATGACCATCCACGCCCAAAGTGTTCCCTGCCGGACCTCAACCACGACCATCCACGCCCAGTGTTCCCTGCCGGACCTCAACCACGACCATCCACGCCCAGTGTTCCCTGCCGGACCTCAACCGCGAGTATCCATGCCAAGTGTTCCCTGCCGGACCTCAACCGCGAGTATCCACGCCAAGTGTTCCCTGCCGGACCTCATGAGATATGCCAGATAGAATGCCAGAAGATATGCCAGATGGAATGTCAGATAGAAGATAGCCAGAAGATATGCCAGATGAAAAAATGCCATGCCAGATAGAATGCCAGATAGAATGCCAGAAGGTATGCCAGAGAAGAATGTCAGATATGAGATAGACCAGAAGATATGCCAGAGATATGCCAGATAGAATCCCAGAAGATTTGCCAGATAATATGCCAGAAGATATGCCAGATAGAGATAGAATGCCAGAAGATATGCCAGATAGAGATATGCCAGAAGAATATGCCAGAAGATATGCCAGATAGAATGCCAGAAGATGCCAGAAGATATGCCAGATAGAATGCCAGAAGATATACCAGAATGCCAGAAGATATGCCAGATAGAATGCCAGAAGATATGTCAGATAGAATGCCAGAAGATATGCCAGATAGAATGCCAGAAGATTTGCCAGATAGAATGCCAGAAGATATGTCAGATAGAATGCCAGAAGATTTGCCAGTAAGAAAATGTAAAAATGTCACGGTGGGGATCACACGAAGTAAAGTAATTTTGTGGGGATATGTCATGCACTGGGGGGCCAGTCCCGGTCGTTTCTGGTTATTGCGTTCCACAAGGCTACGAATTTATCGAAGGTCTTTTGCTTCTTGGCTGTACTGATGCGCACAATATGAGTGTTTAAGCTAGTTATAGAAGCGGCATTGCAGTGTTTCCTTTGCTTCAGCTCTGGTTGTTGTTCTCCGGTAAAAGCTGGTTCTTTTGCTCGTGTTGCAATGTCAGCAAACTCTATTTGCTTTGCTTCAGGTGTTGTCGCACACACACACACATGTCATCTCGTGTCAAAGGCCTCCCTTTGCAGTGCAATCAAGGAACCTGTTCCTTCGCGATGTTCCGGTGCCGGCGCAAATGACCATGAAGATGATTCGTCAAGTGAGGTCTGACGTGCCTCAACTTAGTTAGTCGGTATGCGAGAAGGTGTGCAGCTTCTAAAACAGAATGAAGGCGACCACCGCATTGGCTTGACTGAATGCTAGGAGTCATACTTCGTCACTTTATTCATTTTGTATATGCGGGTCCGACACTGGCACTAGCTGCTCTTCCGGTGATTTATTCTGCTGGAAGGATGGTGAACCCGTTGTCGGCCCCTCCGCATATTTGCAGACCTTTCTGTCAAGTCCAACGCTACAGGTATCTCGGCTCCAGACCAATGTGGAGGAACTTGACAAGACGGTGGATGTTCTCCGGCCCTTCCCAACTATTTGAGACGGATCCCACTTGAGTGATACCTAAATCATGTAGATTCAGGGTGATTGAATCAATCACGCTGACTCTGATCCCATGTTTTGCCATGTTTTGCCAGATTTTTCAACTTGTGGCCAGTTGCTCTCAAAATGAAGCATGGGTGCCATGAGCGGCTATTGTTTCACAAAATTGACGGAGGCCTCTGCTCCCACCAGGAGATCCTGTTTAAAACGGGGCCTTTCTACTGGAAGCATGATTTCACAAGGCCTACGCAATCCTACGCACACTAGAATTGGTGGAAAAGACACGCTGGTGCCACTTTCAACGCTTCTGCACTGCAATCGTTGCTAATTACACTGGATTAATCATGATAAATCATTGATGAAATGGTCAAACCGAGTCAAACCCTAAAACAGAGGCACAGTTTCATACAGTTTTAAACTCTGATGGAGTGTGATCTGGGAGACTGGAGGAGACCAAAGTGGCTCTGGACAATCTGCAGGAAATGTTGGTGGAAAACTTAGGAATTTCCAAGGCAAATGTCACTAACTTTGCCCAGCCATTCTCAGCGACAGCAAGCATTCCCACACTTTATTTGAGAGGCTGAGCGCCAACGAGAGCTCGCCAAGGCACTCACACGGACGGCTGTCACTGACAGTTTTGATGACTGTGGAAAGCTGTGGCTGTGGTGTGAGAGTTGTTGAGCGCCACTGGTTTGATCTGGTTTGATCCCTGCAAGGAAACCAATCCTGACCGACGGAAGGACTGACCTGGGGATAAAAGATCCTGAATGACCTGATGATGACTGACGTGAAGAAGATGGTAGTACCTGGCAGAATCCCAAGGGTGAGCGTCACCCTACTGAAGCACTTGTCTAATGAGACTGCCCAAATTGAAAACCAATAGCATAATAACAATTAAACATACCTATATAATAGACCAGTTAAGTTAGCAGGGCTTTGGTCTTTCTGCACTGCATTTCCTAGAGTGCACGCACCAGAGAAACTGCTCCAATCCCCAGAAAATGAACTTGTTCCACAATGATGGGCGCAGTGGCCCGAGCCAACACACAGCTTATTTTGCGTTTGATTTCTCCCTTGTTTCTCTTCTGTTGCTGCGTCTTCAAAATAAACGTGACCATTTATACATATTTAATTCATATTTATACATTACCAAGTGGAGAGATCATGGTGAAATGATAATCAAAGCCTGCAGAATTCCGGTGCCAGCTTGGGTGTTGACCTGTCGCCACGAGCTGCTTGAGCTCGCAGGACATGGAGAAAGACATAGAGATCTTGAAACAGTGGCAGGCAGAAGGGGCATCAAAAGTATCTTCTGCCGTGTATTCCTCAGATTTCCTCAGGTTGCTTCGTTCGTGAAAAAATCACAATTCTCGCAGCCAGAACCGGGTAACCTGGGCCAGATCTCTGAGGGCAAATCCACGCCGATCAAAGCCGTATCCGGTGGTGAGCATGCAAAGGCAGTCGAACGCTTCGCGTGAATGTTTTTAGAGTCATGAGTCATGAGTGTTCTTGGATATCATGATTTTCAGGGGGTATGATCTTGTGGAAGACTCAACTCGAGGAAGCTTTTGTGCGGAGTGTGCTATGTTTCCCATTTATCGGGGTTTACCGACATTGAGAAGGCTGAGAAAGCTTCTCCGGCACCGCAGGTCAAAGAAAAAGAGTCAAGACACACTTTGAAGGTCCTGAAGCTAAGCCAGTCAGTCGCATAAGATGCTGAGTTGCCGAGGATCCACACAAACGGTGTCAGATTTGTTTGCCATCAAAGTCTCTTTACACAAATCAACAAAGGTTCTGTTTCCCCTTGTGCTCCATCCGCAGGCAGAATCAAAAGGAAAGGCCTCAAAAGAAGAGGCACCTGCGGAATCCTGCAGACATGTTGTCACCACCCAGAAGTCACTCTCAATGCCACATTTCTACATATTTCTACAGCAAGCCGGCCTTTATGATTATTTCAGAGTCTTCGCTCGCAGTTTCGGTACTGCATTTTTCTGCTCAAGGCCAAGATGGTCAAAGAGCCAAAAGAAAAACCAAAGAAGGGCAAGACTTCAACAGAGAAGGAGCACACAGACGGCACTGTGCTCGGGAGAAGTGGTTCTTCGCAGTGACCCTCACACAGGCTCAAGAGAAACAAGCCAAGGAACCCAAGCCTGTCACCAAGGTGCACATGGGCAGATAGGGATGTATGCGCGCTGTGATGTCCAATCATGTCCAATCTATAATCCGCATTTGCATTTCGCTCACGCGTAGATCGTGTGGCATTATCCTGGATGATGCTGGTTCACATCTCTAGGCTGAGAAGGCGTCAAAGAAAGCGCCTTCCAATGAGGAGCAGAAGCCGCCATTTCTCAATATACAGTAAAATCCTAGACAATTTCTAAGACACTGAACATGTGATGCAACTTCAGTGAACAGGCCTTAGCGACTTTTGTTTGGAATGCTCGCAACTGACGCTCTAAAGCAGGTGAAGCAGAAGAGTAAGGGCGACACGGCTAAAGCCGCACCCACGGACAAGCATGAAGCAGCTCAGGGTAGCACAAAACAAAAAGAGGAGAAAAAGAGCCACACTACAGAGGCTTTCGGGAGTGGACACATGGACCTCGTGGCCGGTTGTCGGGTGTTTCTTATGAGTTCAGCATAGTTGAGCCATGTTGGGATTGTGCCAAAGCCAGTGGTGATTCGATGATCCAGGAAGCTCCTGCCAAGAAAGCAGACAAATCTGCCGCGCCGGAAAGCACAAAAAGAAAGAAGGACAAGAAGGAGACTGCGGCGAACGTGAAAGAGGCTGATTGACCTTGGCTTTTGTTCGCATCGTGATTGCTTGCCTTCTCTACTCTGCGGTATCCATGCGTTTGTGCATCAGGTTCCAGAACAAGTGGAACCCAAACACGCGGAAGCGAAGGTGTGGCATGAAGCAGTTGTCCATGTTTGACATTTCTGTGAGCATTTTTTCCACGGTGAGTTGGTAGGTACAGATGGATTCTGGTTGTGTTCCACACATCTTCTCCACATTCCTATCATTCCTGACCTCTGACTCCAAAGGACAACTTCAGAACCGTGAGATGCGCATGGATTTTCAATAACTTTCACAGTCCGCCATCAGATGGCATCAGCTTTCATGCGTAAGGCTTGCAGGGCTGCGGCACTGATGATAGTTTTGCCTGCTGTTTTTCCATCTTCGGTGCCATGGCCCTTTGGTGGAGCTTGCCACTCCTTTTCGCAGAAGCAACGTTGGGGCCTGGGATGAATCCATTGCCAAAAATTGCAAAGGATGGTGAGCAACACTTCAGCCAGATGGCCGCTGCAAATGAGAACTCTGCACCTTGTTTGCATTGTCTATTTTCAGATGGTGGTCTGGCTTTGCCCTTCAAATCAAGCGTGTTTGTGTGCTTTTGTTTTGACTGACGTATGTTTGTGTAGTTTTCCACGCTCACTTGAAAGGTTGTGGATATGTCAGCCATCGGCCAGAGGAACCCTTTGCAGTTTGAGTTTTTGACCGATTTTTGGTGTCTCTTGGCCAGCATTGATGTTGCGTGGGGCTGTTCGATTTTACCCATGCTGCAGTCATGTGGAAGACCGACCATAAGAATCACAATTGGGTGGAAGAGATTGAAAGACCCCAATGTTTTTCAATGGCACTCACATTCATCAGGTGCCTATGAGCTGAGTGACCGGAAGCGAACAATGGCTCTTCTCGTCGATGATATGCAGGCTGTACACACGGCGAGAAAGAGTGTCAGAGCAGCTTTTTTGCCCTGCCATAGGTCGGCAAGTAGATGAAACATGATGAAAACATGGAGCACTTGTGATGTTACATGGGACCGCTGCACGTTCTAGACATGCATGCTGTGATGCTGAAAATGGATCTGGAGGTTGAGTACCATGACTACGTGCAGGGGATTGTGCCACCAATCATGCAGCTCGTGGAGGGGTTCCGAAAGGCATCAGTTGTCCAGGAAAAGTGCAAGCAGTGAACTGGCAAAGCAGTCGTACTGGAAGCTGTTGGACTGCTAAGCATCATCTAAGCATCAAAGCAGCTTGCATGGCTGTCCCAATAGTCCCAATGAGAAAGCAATCAGTGTTGTCAGCGCCCCAACACCATCCAACACCCAACCAGTGTGACCTGGAGGCGAAACTTCCAATTTTTTGGAGCACCTGGTGGCGATGGGGTCCAGATGATGGTTTCTTCAATTCCATGGATCGATTTTATGGACCTATTGGGTGGTGGGCTTAATGGCATGATTTGAAGCTCTGGAGTTGCCCAAACGGCTTCAAACATATTCAGAGATTCTACCAGCTTCACATCTTTCAGAATGAATTAAAACCATTGAGCATGCCCTGCAACGTCCTGTCAGGTGGAACACTTCATTGAATGCGTTGTACAATCACAAGCCAAATGGTGGTGAAGCTAGACAGCAGAAAGATGCGGAAAGTGTGCAAAGGAAAGTCTTTGCAGGTCTGAAATGGTCTGAAGGTCTCTTCGATGCCCATAACATTCCATGACTCTCAATAACTTGGTGTGATATGGTGTGATCCCGATCCCTGCAGTGCCTGCCTGCCAGGATGTGCTTCCCGAAGTCGCTCCGAAGACACCAGAGGAAAGGAAACGTGTGATGCACAAGAGCTATTCTCTGGATATGTTTGACGAGTCGCCGATGGAATGGCTAGTGCCTGATGGCCAAGGCACAGATCAACTCAGAACCAAAGGGATAAGGGAAACAAGTGTTGACTATTTATAAATGATTATATGAAGGCATATCATATATCAATATATATCATATATCCAAGCGATTCCAAATGGATCCAAATGGTATTTCGGCACTAGAAATCACTAGATCCAAAGATTCCAGGATTGTCACGTACTCGTCATAGACCCAGGCACGCTACACACGGAGCTGCAGAAGCTTGGGGTTGACACTGTGGTCCAGGCAAGGATGCAGACGGGTAGGTCCGGTGCTGCCTGAGCTCTTTTGCTTCGATGTCTTGGTTTCCAGTTTTTTTTTTTTAACAACTATTTACTTGATCTATCTTGATCTTGATCTTACTTGAACAAATACCGCAGCTTTACGTGTTTGACCCAAACCAAACCAGAATTTCACCAGCTTGACCTGGTCAGGTAGGAGCCTGGACCGATGATTGCATCATATCCACCGCCTTCCATGCCTTCAGCCTGCAATATGATGTCGTTTTGATCGAGGATGGCGTCTCCACTGCCAGCAAGAACCACTTCAATGCTATCCAGGTACGTCATGGCATGGTACGTTATGTTTGTGCATGCCACTGCCGTTGTTGCCTTTTGCACAGTCGCTGGGTTCTGTGGCCAGTGACATCCAATGGCTTCTGAATTTCTGTCAGGTGATGCGTGGTGCAGCTGCTAAGGTGGTTTTCGCCCGAGAGGTGGTTCAGTACCTCAACGATGGGCAGCCTGTAAAGCAACCAGCGCCCAAGACAAAGCTTGCAGGGTCGCGCCAGAGACTTGCGCTCATTGAGGAGAGATCCAGTGAATCTAGTGACTTGCACAAGGCCAAGAAGGGACATGAACAAAGCGCACAACTCAGCGCTGTGGAATCAGCTGGGCAACAAAGATTTGCAGATCAACTTGTTCTGGTCCTGATCGCAAGCATTGGCCCAGCCTCATTTGCAGCAGGGTGGGTGTTGCGCGGGAGCTTCCATCAATTTGCTATCCGTGACGCGCCACTTCTCTAATGTTGCCTCAGTGGCAGCTATGTGGCTATTTTGGTCTGATTTTGTCCTTCCAGTCTTACATGTATTTGTATATAGCGTTTCATATTCTTGTTCATAGTTACGCATAGTTATGGTGGGACAAAGCGGCTGTCTGAAAAAAATGAAAAAATGTTACTGGATGGCATGCGTTCTTGCACCCGTGCTTTGGCAACCAGAAGTGGCCTTCCCGTTTTTGACTCTTTTGGTGCCTCTGAGACTGGCACAATGTTGTAGACTCTAGACGGCTGACCAGTTCATAGACGAGGAGAACCCAAGAGACAAGCTGCTGCAGAGTGCTGAGATGATTGAGCTGGAACCTCAGAATTTCTTGAGAGGATCTCTGACGTGATTTTCCAGCATACGCATGTCCACAGAGATACCTGTACCCCGAGGCAAGCCAAAGAAGCACTTCGGCACTTGAAGCAAAAAGCTACAGAGGTGGCACCTGTTCTAACTCCGTCATAGGCACGTAAGTTCAGACAGTGTATTCTGTTGAGCTTTTTTTCTTTGATTGTTTGTGCTTCTAGATTTTTTTTTTTAAATGAAGTCTTCACTCCTTATTATTTGTTACTTTTTGAAATATACACATGTGTGATGAATGGTTTGGATCTGGAAGGCAGAAGCTGTCCCAGCTGTGCCCCAGGCTTAAACTATGTTAAACTCGACCTGGAATGGTGAAAACAAATCCGCACATCTCGAAACCCACCACGTCATGATACTTGATTTGCATATATGTAAGGCCTGAAGAAATGCCTGGTGAGCTTCCAGCCGAGGCAAGCTTCAGCTGGTTTTTGCCAGCAGTTGGGGCTCTATCGTGTGCAATGTTCGTTTATGTTCGTTTTTCAAACAGGCATTTCTCGGCTTCTCCTGTCAAACAACAAGTTTCCTGTCCTTGAGTGCCCTTCTCTACCTCAGTCTTGGTGGGGTAAGAATACATAGGCCGCGATTATGTAACGCGCACATATGAACAGTGATATTGTGTAGTTCTTGGATGTTCTTGGTGTGCTTGTTTTCGATTATTGTTGACCGATTCGACGGTGTGATACTCGAGTCAGTCTCTCCTGCTTCGAAACTTCAGTCACGGTCATAGTGCCCCCCAAAAATGTCTTTTGATTCTGTTGACTGTTGGCTGTCTAAAGTCATTCTAAAGCCTAACGCTGTTGAGGATGGTTCTGAACAACCCCTGATGGAGGACAAGGCCCCGATTTTTTCAGCGCTTCCACACATTGCAACCGGAGCGATCATCCCCAAATTTTAAATGCAGCATGCCTTGCATTTAACAGATGGCATGCGACATGTGAAGAACAGGATGAAGACCCCCTAAGAACTCATCAGGACTCATCAGAACTTATTCAGCTCCATCAGCAAAGCATGGTGCGCAGCTTTTGCTGAGGTTACAGTACTGATGCCCTCCGAGAAGGCCGGATCATGAACATGATGAAATGTTGTTGAAATGAAATTGAAAGACTGAAATGAATTGAACAGGTTTGAAATGCGCATGAACAGGTGTTTGGGGCCGTATTTGCCGGGCCAACCTGTGCAGAAGTTTTGAGTGGAAAGCGAGGTGCCGCCATGTGAGTTGCCACTTTGGTCGCGGCCTCATTGCAATCTTATGGGATCAGTTGCCCACAAAGGCATCACGCACTGCTTTGTTTGGTTTGTTTTGACTTAATCGTCGAGTAGGCATGCTTAGCATGCCTCCTTCCTCATCTAGCAGCATCTAACAGCTCCAGTGCGACAGACCTGGGGCTTCGCTGGTGCGACATTCATGAACTAATCGAGATGTATAAGTATAATATAATTCTCCCTTAGATCAAGTTATCTCTTAAAACTTTAAACCATGTTGGTGGATGTATGTCCCGCTGTACGGCTCGGGTATTGCTTTGCGACTGTTTTGCCCTTGGGCACACATTTCGGGATTGCGCCCAATGCTGCCTGGATGATTTGAGCTAGCATTTGCTTTGAAAAGTGGGTTTCTTTGCAATGTGCCCTTCAGGCTGAGGGCTCTCAGGTATGGGACAGCCTGAAAAGCTATCCGCCAACAACCAGCGAGATTCGTTTTCTTCCAGAGGTTATATTAATGGCATACTGTATGTACTTCCATAGGAGGTAGTGGACACGTGCCGATCTAATGTCAAAAGTATTCCAAATGTTCCATTTCACACACTGCTCTTGCATGCTTTTGCATTCTGGGGGGCTCATGATTGTTCATTTGCACCTGCTTTGCTTACTCAGGCTTGCAGCCCGAAAGTCACCTTATCCGCGACCTTACTACATACCTACTCTGCATCCTTTTGCGAGCCGAGTGTAGCGTATCTACATCTTCCTTTTGCTGTGTTCATGTGCTGGCATTTCTGGCAATGAGCAGGAGAGCAGCAGGATATACTCTCGGCTCTTTTCTATTTACAACCGTCCATCCGAGCCTAGCTAGCACTTCCTGCTCAGACGCAACGTTGCTGGAGAGTTGTGATTTGTCAGCAAGATCCTTACTACAGCGCAATGTGGAGTTCAAGAGTTTGTCTGCCTCCGCCTACCGGAAATTATTTCAGCATTTTTTGGTATTTTGTTTTTGTTCTGTTGGTTGAAATGTTTGCGCATGTTTTCTTAAGAAAGGAAACTAAAGAAACCTACAAAGCGTCCACTGAGGGGATCAAGCAAAAGAACAGCAATAGAAATGACGCACATATTTGAACAATGTTTGAACATGTTTGTCAAAGATGATGCTGATGGATTTTGCATGTCGTGATAAAACCCAATTTTCTGCCATATCAACCCCCCACCCAGACGAAGTCCGGCGTTGTTCGCATTGCCGTCTTTTCGTTCTTTTGATGGCAAGGTAAACGATTCATTTGACTTGCACAAGGAGCTTTCCTTACTATTCCAGTCAGCTGCACGAGAATCTTGCGGGAGCTATCTGTCGATCGTTCCTGGCTGATGTGTGGAAGGGGCCATATGTGTTTTATTTTGTTTTGGCAATTTGGTAACATTGAAGTCAATTTACTGTCATGAATGTCATGAATTACACATCAGTACAGTCAGCAGAAGTAATTGCAACGACTTGCAACGATTTGCAAAGCGCATGTTGCTGACCTTCGCTGAGGCTAGCTTAGTCACCGTCAGTTGTGGAGCATTGATTCTCGCGATCATAATATATTTGGCGCTTCAATTCCTGACAAAGAAAGGTCGGACCGGTCGGAGCCTAGCTGGGCCTAGCTTTTCTGTTTCCAGAGTGATGAAGTGGTGCTATTAAGTGGAGAAGCACCCAGCACAACCATGCATTGTCGAGCACTGTGGCTGGAGCATGTCAATTCGAAAAGAACATGAATCTTTTGTTTATTACTCAACCATTCTGTAATGGTTGTGGTTTGCTGGCAGGAAGTGACCCGGAGGAAATGACAAACATTCTGCGCGGACTTCCAAGCCAAGTTTCTATGATGGCGTTGGATACCTGGAGAAAAAACACGATAGTTTTGCAGGTCCCAGGGGTGGACGTCCGTGGTTTTTTCTTCCGCAGAAGATTGGTTGTTTTCTAAATGGTTTTCCCTTAGATAAGCCAGATGGGCATCATTTTTCATTGTAGTATCCTCATTAGAAGATCAAAGAAGTGTTGATTCACCTAACGTTTGGGCGGCCACGAGAAGTATGGCCAATTGCTCCGGAATGCCGCCCAGGATCACTGCTACTTCACCCCAGATCTGGTTGTACCCGATGGCTGTGAATGCGTCCTCTACCTTCTGGCAAGACCCAAACGGGGGCAGCCGTATGACGTGCTGGACAGCAGCGGAGGCTAGTGGAAATTTCAGATGTGAAGCAAAACTGGATTTCCCACTGTGTAGGGGACAGATGCATGCGCCTATTTATGGCTCAATAAAGCTAGGAGGCATTTGGCTCCCACACATTTCCACACAAAGTTTAGGTCCTCGATGGTCCTCATGGAAGGATCTGTAGGGCCCTACCGGGGTTGAATCCTGAAGGATTGAAAGGAATCGGTTTCTGTCAAAAGTTGTGCCCTATGTGCACGAACGCGCTAGGACCACCCATGCTTTCGTAGACTTGTGATAGAATCATGGACACCTTTGGGAGCCTGCATCCATGAGTAGAATGTGATGACGAATTCAACATGGTTTTTGCAGACTGATTTGTGGAGGTGTGGTGCTTCGAATCGCTGACCCACAGCCAGTGAATCCTGTTCTTCGCCGAGCGCAGCTTAGACGCGAAAGAGAAAGGACAGCTAGGTCCAGCCAGAATCAGAAGGCACACATCCCAGATCATCCTTCATTATCCTTCATCATCCTTCATCATCCTTCATCATTCTTCATCATCCTTCATCATCCTTCATCATCCTTCATCATCCTTCATCATCCTTCATCATCCTTCATCATCCTTCATCGTCCCAGTCCCAGTCATATCTCGCTTGTGATACAAACACATTCATGATCATTCATGGACAGGTACAATCTAAGGAAATCTAATGAATAATGTAGTCGAGTCTAGTCTAGACTCTAGACTAATCTTACCTCGTCTATATACTCTAATCTTATCTCATCCATCTGTCCGTCCATCCGTCTATCTCTCCCTCTCTCCATCTATATAGGTCTGGAGAGGTGTGGAGACAAGTGCGTACCTACGGTGCAGATCTAGTTTTCTAGTTGCAGATCAACAATCTGAATGTTTATGAATGTTGTTGTAACCCCCTGCTAATCCTGCTACCTGAGGCTTCTGAGCAGTAGCAATGTGGAGTTGGCACAGATCATTTGCAGTGAAAGCCTTTCTCCAAAGCCAGAAGTGCTTCGATTTCAGTTGCTGAATGGGAACCAGGCGCGCGAGTGAAATCAGTCAACCATGATTGACATTGATCGACTATAGTTGTCTCAAGATTTGTTCAGAAGGGTTTCAAGTTTCCTTCGCTCCAATTCAACAGGACTGCTGGGCAACTTTGACGTACGAAGTTGGCCGGGAATCCACAGAGGATAAATGCATCATTGAGAGGTGCTTTGGCTACTTGTTGTTGCCTTGGCTGTCAATCTCTGAAAGCTTAAGCACACAGAAGACAGAAATTGACAGATTACATCAAATTATATCAAATTACTCTGCCCACAAGACTGGCAAACAACAGCACTGATGTCAAGAAACAGCAAAATACAAAGATCATTGCACACCCTGCTGTAATTGCATGAGAACTCCTGGGATTGTTCTTAATTGCAGCCTTTGTTGTGCCGCTCTTTGTTGTTTGTGGCACATCCCATCAGGCCGCGGCAGATGTTCTATTTTTTCGGATCCTTTCAACATGGCTCCCTGATCCTTGGATGAATTTGTGGCTCCAGCAGATCAGACAACGTATGGGTCGCGGTGTCGATGTCAAATCCAAGGAATATGACCGACTCCTTTGGCCGACTATTGGCCACCACAGCACCCTGTGCACCCATGGCGCGAGGGGAGGCGCTTCGACTGCGTTGTGCACCTGCAACAGATGTGGGTCTGGCGGTATGTGCGCTGTGCCCCGGCTGTATGGATTGTGATGAAACGGTGGTCATGGTATGTCATAGCATGTCACATATAGTATGTCATGGTCATATTTGATGAAAGGTCCAGCCAGGTTTCAAAGAGTGTCAGTTGTTGTAGATTTGGGCTGCGAGGATGTGCATGCAAGCGGTTGCTCAGTGATGCTCAATGACATCTCTTCTGAGACCCTGGCTGAGACAATTGAATAGTTTCCTTTGACAATTTCGGACTTAATACCATTCTTAAACAGGCCTTGAAAGCCGTTGTGCCGTGTAACTAGATTTGCTGGTTTCTGGATGTTTCTGGCACTCACCGGTGCAGTGCTTCTGTGTTCGGCCTTTATTGCAGAAGGCCGCTCCTGGAGATCTGAGACCTCAGATCCGATATCCGATGAACAGAAAAGATATGCAAGTCCTACTTCCTGTGTATCTCAGATTCGGACATCATAATACTATATATAATGCTGTATGACTCCTGTACCGGTTCCAAAACTTCTAGACCCTGACAGAGTGGTCGCAGCCACAGCATCTTCAATATCCTCACTTGAAATCACTGGTCCACGAACACCGCAGCCATCATTGGTTGCTCAGAGTAGTTGAGCCTCCAACAGTCAGAGTGCCACTTGGCAAGAGTTTCCTGCTAGAAACACGGGCTTTCTGAAGATATTCTGAAGACATGCACCATGAATCACCATGAGATGCCAGGATTTGAGGCTCTGGGTTCCAGCTTGGTGAGGTGCTCCTTTTTCACTCGACTGAGCACCTTACACAGGACGATACGATCTAATTACGCCCGGTTCTCAGGACCGTTTCTGTGTTCAGAGCTGAAGGCTGTGGCATGAAGGTTGGAGAATTGTTGGTGAGATGGTTGTGACACCCAGGACTTTACCATTCACTACATCAATTCTAGCCTATTTCTCATGATGCTTGGCAGAGGCCTGGAGTTGTAGCATAGTTCTAGCATGTTGTACCCACATATTATAGCCACATCGTTCTCTACTGCCTACCACGTTTGCGCTTGTTCTCATCAGTTGAAGTGGTCCATTTGCTTCAGCTGAAGCGATTTGCTGCTAGTATTTGCAACTGAGTGGACTCTTCATGGTTCTTCCAACTGTGTGCTGGGGTATAAACTTTGTTACTTATCAGTTCCAATTGTATCCAGAAGCGGGAAGGGTTGCAGAGGAACCACATCAGCAATTCATTTGTGCCAGGCCTATTGGGGAGCACTGTAATTCTGGTGACGATTCACAGTGCAAGTTGCTGCCCAGAGCCGTCTGGCTGCCACAAAGGATGGTGGTTTAATGTGAATGGTTGCTGAATAGTGGATGTGTTGGTTCAATCAGTGATGACACATGATGCTTGCTGAATGTCAATGGATGTTTCACTCATGCTAAGTGATGTCAATGGAGGTATTTGGAGGTCAATTTTTAGGTAATGATCGGCTCATGATTCGTTAATGGATGATATGGATGTAAATGGCATGTTTATGATGCTACTTGCTTTACTCAGGCCTCCCTGCAATGGCATCAATGGCACTATGATACAGGCGCCAGGGGAATTTGGGGCTGAGGAATGCAACGTACAAACGTGGGCACAACTCATCAGTGACATCCCGCGCGTTATACAGCAATGATTTGTGTGTCCTGGCTTCCTTGCCATGTTGTATCCTCGACTTGCAGAGAAATCATCAGATTGATGGAGCAGTTGTGCCTTGCTGTGACCAAGGCATCTAGTCTAAATAAAAACCATTTCAGTCCCCAACGTGCCACAATGACACTGCCACGATGTCTCCTTCCCGCCCATCAAATTTCAAGATTTTCAAACAAGAGCGACAATGATGTACACTGCGGCCTTTGTCTGTATGTTCTTCTTTGATCAATTCGGATATTTCGGCAAGACATGGCAAGACACTGAGCAAACTGCTGGATGAAAGATGCCACTACACTGAAGAGGTCTCTGACAGCCTGACTTCTTAGAGATCAGTGCAAGCACGCAGACTCACAGCGTGTTGAAAGGGCGGCGACAGGGAAACAACAGATGTGACACAGCAACACAGCACGTATGAGAACATGACATCGCGGCGTGTGTGAGAGGTCTCTGACATCGACATGCAACTGCTGCTGCATGCGATGATACTGTCCCAGGCAGGGTCAACTGAGCGACAATCAAGTGACCCTGTCCTGGATGGCACTGCTTTTATGTGACCATATCTGACCCTGATCTGTCAATGTAACAGCGCCAGATGCATTCAGCCTCAGGATCCAGTCCGAGGAAATTTCTTTGTGGCGGTGGTCCTCTTCACTCTGATGGTGGCTTGCGCAATGTATGCTGCAATTATGCAGCGCTGGGAGGCTGACCAAGTCATACAAATCATTACAAACCTAATGATGTTTTCTATTTTTTTCCTCTGAGCCAAGTGCAGGAGCGAGGCACCAAAAGCCAGATTCCATCGCAATCAATGCTGAAAGGGATAGTTCCTGGGTAGCAGATTGCAGCATCGCAACTGATGACCTGATCATTGGCCGGTCCTCAATGCGCTTCGCGCATCTCTCCCTTCAAAATGTTACTTGCAGGAAGAGCAGCTTTTGGGCCTTCAGGCAAATTTGTTTCATCATGGCCCTTGCATGCCTTTGCAATGATTCAGCTAAGGATGAAATGCATTTCACCCCAGATCTGGTCGTTCCCGAGGGTTGCGAGTGTGTTCTGCTCGTTTGCTCCAAGCCCAAGCGTGGGATGACCTACGATGTCATTGACTCCGGCGGAGGCATTGTGCTGGGGATGGAGGACTCGTTCGAGGCAACTCCAGTACCACGACGGAAACTGCTGACCCCCAACAAGGTCTTGCTGGGTCAGTGTGTTCGTACCCAACAATCATTCCCATCGCAGACATCCACTGAAATTACGTTTGAGCAGCTTAACTGCATTGGCCAATCATATCTAATCCTATAGGAATTGCTTGAACATTTGAGCATGAAATTTCATAGCCAGCTCTATGGTGGGCCCTTGGGACCTTGATGATGCTGCCAGCTTCCCAAGGATCTTGAACGCCGATCATGCGGTGTTCGCAAAGCTTACATATGAACCGCGACAAGGAAGAGATGACAAGGTCTTCATTGAAACAATCAGCCAGAAGTTTCTCTTTTTCGGATCTATCCAGCACCAGACCTTGAATCTTTCCATGCAGCCAAGAAGAGGTGACAGCATGTGACAGCAGCTTTTCGATGCTTTTCGTATTTTCAGTGCAAGGCACCAAACCCGCAGCTTATCCAAACAATAAGGAATCTCACTGACTTCTGTGGCAAACTACTTGCTACAACGGAGCCGGTCACACAGCAGGACTGCATTGACATGCATTGACTGCATCTGTGAAATGCCATGACTATGGAGCATGTGTGCTACTGTTACCCATTGTTACCCTGCAATGAGATCTGGTGTCAGATGTGTCAGGGCCCGCATGGTGAACCACCTGGAAGCCTACTGCGTCTCAGGGTTGCACCTTTGGCTGCTCCTTAGCTGTATTTTGTGCTGCAAGTGTCTGGCACCAACAATCGACATCAATATGCAGACTTGGAATCTTTATAGTCTTATGGTTTTTTCATGCTTTTTGATTCTTGATTTGATATGATTTGTGTGTTTTCAAGCGTTGCTTCTGGTATTGGTGGCATGGAAGTTTTCATCGTCCTTTTTGCTCAGGATGTTGGACTAGTTCTGTGCAGCTTGCCTCTTGGCAATGGCAGAACTGAATGTATACTACCCAATCGGATGGCTTGTGAAGTCCTTGTTTCATCTTGTTCTCCTCACAGCTGGTGTGATCAGTCGTTTGATCCTCTGAGGATGTGTATTCAACACATTTCACCAGGATGGTGAGGGTCACAACGTGTGGTTGCAACGCGTCGACAACAAACCACCGGAGCCCTGACCACATCCAACTTTCGTAAATGGCCAGCTAAATCCAAATGGCATAGGAGCGCAGCGAGAAAAGGATATCTTTTATCCCGTTGTTTGCTGTGCCGGCACCGCCTGTTTGCCAACGCGATTGCGAATGCAGGAGAGCAGTGGAGGGCAGAAAGAGAGAATAATCGTCAAAGTAGCAAGTACCGAGAATAGCACTGACTTGCACAGGGTTGCTGGGCATGATGTCCGTGATAATCATATTCCCAATCATAGTACTGTCATCTCCAATATCTCCAGTCTCCAGCATACTTTCCTTGTACTTCTCTTGAGTCCAGTTTCCTGTGATCTTGCCTTGGCACATTCAGCTCAAAGGGAAAGCAGTAGACCGGCAGAAGCCATGGCCCGCTGCACAATGAACTCTGGAAACGCTCCAGCAGCCTGCCAGCAGATGGCTGCAAGATGACTAGAAGATCGCTGAAAGATGGCTGGAAGATGGTCGAAGCATGTGAGACCATGTGGGCCCATGTGGGCCCATGTTAAGTTCACACAGTCATGCGAGATATGCTTCCATCTGCAGTCCATACCGATTCCATACGCTTCTAGGTCAAGAACACCTTCATCCACTTCTCTGACTCTGAGGAGGCCAGTGAAGTAACCTATAGACCTAGAGCCCCTAGACAGATAGTAGAAGCGAGTAGAAGAGTTATGTCGCACAATTGACAACGCAGGAAGCAACTGGAGTCCGGCGACGCAACTCGGAGCCAGCCTTGTGGCCAGTGCCTGGCATGCAAAAACTGTAGACCGATGTCTCAGGAACAAGATGGAAAAGGACCCTAGGATACCCTAGGTATCCCTAGGTACTTTTGATGTTTGAGTCTCTGATAACAAGATATAACAAGATATAACAAGCCTAAATACGAACTTTGTGGGATGACTTGTAAAACACCCGTTGCAGGTGGGCACGCCACTCATCAGGCAATCACATGACATGAACATATTTATTATATATGTGGGCCATTGTGGGCCATTGTGGGCCATATCATACCGTTGTCATGGTGCAGTTGTGATAGCTTCATCCACAAGCTATGATTGCTGTCTGAGGCACCTTGCACCAATGTGCCTTGGCATGACATCTTCATTTGGGCCAATCTGCAACACATCGTTTCGTGACGGCTATAACTTGGTTGATAATGGTTGATAGATTTCAATCATAAACCCAGAAGCGATGGATCCTTTAATGCCAACATGATGCTGGAAAAGCCAGGTGACTTTCTCTGCGAACCTGAAGGGCAAGGGACCTAGTCTGACCTAGTACATCTAGTACTCCAAGAGGTTTGGCCATGTTTGGCCAAGCCAATACTTCCATAATTTTCCACTGGTTCCAGCCGACCCGGCGCCGAGGTATGGGAGAGCAGCTTGTGGCCCATGCCGCCGGCAACTGCAAACCATGTAGCTTCTTCTTTTTCAAGGAACAGTGTCATTCAACCTACGACAAGTGACAAGAGGTTTATGGATGTTTTGGCATTTGTATGCATTTAAACGACTTCGGATGAGGGTGTCGCACTCAAGACTCTACAGGTGGCAGAGTTGGGCGCGGGGGTGAGATCAAAAAAAGATCAGAAGGGCAAAAGTACGCCACTACATTCACTTGCAATACCTGGTGGTGGGCATTGCGAACCTGCCTTACATTAGGATCATCAGGTTTGATGCCTCCACCAATGGTTTTTCCTGTGGATCAGGAAGATGGATGCCGACGCGGAAATTCCTGCTCATTCTGTCATTTGTGCAGCTGAGCAACATAGCATTTTTTTTTTTGAGATCCCGAGAGTTTGATTGAAAGGCAGACCGTAGATGATACTCGTACTGGACAAATTCTACGAAAATGTGGTGAAACCAGAGGTCGAGGTTAGGGGGAACATTCCTGGATCACAATGCAGCAACCAAGGCTCAGAAGACACAGCCCGGCGGCAGAAGAGGAGTGGTCAACGCAAGGCTCGCCTCACTAGGTTGGATGATGTTGGATGTCAACCGTGCTACTGCCCCTTCGAGCATGACCTTTTCTTGGGAGAGTTGGGCTGTCAAGGCATGTCAGGGCCTAAGGTCGAGAAAGTTGAGACACCTCCTAGTAGCCTAGATCCTGCCAATTTCGACCGCGAATCCGCAGGCACGGGCAGTGAAACGAGCCGTTGCCAACCAGGTCCAAAGGGGAGGCAGGATGAGCAGATGACGCGACCGGAGGGGGAGAGACTGATCAGCTGGGTTGAATGACTGTATGGCATACGGTATGGCTGTATCTATATTAGTAGGGTCAGTTAGGGTTCTCAAAGTTGGATTCAAGGGCCATCACCTCTTTTGTGCTTATGTTTTATTTTGTATTTGCTTGGATTTCACGACACCTACAGTAAGTCCTGCTTGGATTTCACAACACCTAGGTATAAGTCTTAAGTTTATGATAGTTTATGTATGATACTATTCCAACACCGGTCGTTTCGAGCACCGGTCAACATGGAGCAGCGTTGTGGACTGCTGGCCCTTCGCTTTGGCGCGAGGTCTTGTTCCCGCTGGCTCCGAGAGCTCGATGGATGGAGCTTAGCGGAGCTTGATAGCCACTGCGGTCGCACACGACCACCACGAAATACTACGAACTCTGACCCAGAGCAGATCAGAGTGAAGGTCCACAGTGAAGTTCCAGAGAGTTTCCTGAGCTTTTGCAAACTGCCCAACTTTGATCAACTTTGTACAGCTGCACCTTGCCACATGCAGGGGCCAATTGATCCAAATTGCTTTGTCACAAGAGTATGGCCAGTACAGCGTAAAAGATTCTAGGTGAGTGTGGCATGAAAGCAGCATTCAACGAAGCCAAGATTAATCCTCTCAGGTATAGTCACTAAGTCCAGTTATGCTACTAGAATGTGTTAAATCCTGAAGGCAGATTCTTATTGGTGTCAGATTGTCTTGGTCGCTGCAGAATCTGCAGACTACATAGCTGGTTGATAAAGCATAGAAATAGAAAGCAGTGACGATGCATTGCCTGTCCAGCAGTTTGTGGGTTTCCATCCTGAAGCTGAGATCTTTAGGTGACCCATGCCTTGGTAGGAGAATGCCTCGACCTTTCGCTTCAGCATTGTATCAGGGGCAGTTTGGTGAGGATTCTGTGGTGTTTGGTGACCCAATGCCACATTTTGGGTTTGCCCAGCCAGCATTTTTGCATCTGCGAACGTTTCCATTGAGGCTACTCCATGTCATACCTTAGGATCCTTAGGTAAGTATATAGACTTCTCGACTTCTCCCGGTGTTACTTTGTGGGTGAGTTTCCCTTGAACCTTGTTCCGCATATGTCAGATGTGAAGCTGGCAGCCTGTTGCCACTGGCGGCGTGATTTTAATCACACGATTGAGTCAGCACACCCATTGGCTTCCAAGATGGTTGGAATGCGCAGGTTGTGACGCCGAGTGCAAGAACAAAAAGTGGATGTGTGCTAATTGAAGTTGCGTTCATAGGGATTCCATGTGTTGTACAATGCGACGGACATTTCTAATGACTGCATATTGCCTGCATTAATATGTCCATCAGAAATGCAATGCTCATGCATAAAACATTACATAATATGACAAACCAGTACAAAATAACGCTATTTCATTGATTATATATATATATATATATTATACCGTATAAATGAATAAAACTTAAAATAATGATAATCATGGTCCTCCGTGTTGTTCTTTTGTTATGCCTGAGGTGCGTCATGCCAAACCCGCGTGATGTGGAGAGCCTGGCTGGATTGGCCGTCAGCTGTTGATATGGCTGTCTTGTTAGTGTGGACTGCCAAGTTGCACTGCCAGGAAACTGTATTTGATATTGCCTTGACCTTACGGGCGCTGGAGCAGGGAAATTTGATGAAATCCAAGGTTGCGTGCATACTTTTTGGTAGAGCTAGCAGCTAGCCCATTTGAATGTAGGACAGGTTCTTTGACCTCATGCCAGCACAGAGTCTTTTTCGGAGGAATTGGGGGCGATGTTTCAGGAGCTTTGTGGCAGCAATTTTCGAGCAGAACAGCAATCAAGAATAAGACGGATCACATTGGATCAGGATTCAGCTAAAACGGTCTTCAAATAATTCCAAATATCTGAAATATATTCGATCCGACTCAAACTCTTCAATATTCTTCAATCATCTTCAATCCCAGGGCACCTGTGTCTTAATTCGGATAGGTTCGCGTTGTGTCCGGTTCAGCTGGACCACCCAAGCGACTACAGCTCGGGCGTTGGAACCTCGTGGGTTTGTGTTGTGATTCCTGTGCAGGTTGGCATTGTGATGTGATTTTGGATGACTTGGGGTTCAACTAAAGCAATAGTTGCTTTTGTGTTGCTTTTATATATACGTTTACGTAATACGTATATACATACATATTTATATATATTTATAAATATTATAGCAGAATATACCAATGAGGACAGCCTAAGTAGTGCAAGCATAGGGAGCCAGATCCTGCTGAGGTCGGTCGTGGGCTTTGCTGGGACGAAGGAGCCAATAAAAAAAGACTGTGCCGCCATCAATCAAATCTGGTTGTTGGGGCCTGGAAAGGGGGTTGTGCCTGATGACTAAGAGTACTGAATAGATCTGAATATAGTATATACTAGCTGAAATATCAGAAATAAAGAGAAATCGAGTCTCACAGTGATTTGCTGATCTCCTATTCTCTGGGTGCTAGGCCAACTTCTTTAGCAAGTGCTGTTGGTGACATGGTGGGACGACCAGGCTGCACGAAGCGCAGGCGGCAGAGGCAAGAAGAGCTGGTGTACCGGAGTCAGATGCTGAGTCATGAGGATATGGCGGATATGTTGTTTCAAAATTGAGAAGCCCAGACGTCCACAGCTTTACTATGCAATATATGGTTTACCGGTATTTTCCCATTGAAATAGCAACTTTCTAGTACCCCCTATCTTGAGACACACCCATTTTATACATCCCAATGACTCCAGATTGCATTTCAGGACCCGTCACTGACTCCAGTTGCCATGGTTTCGATATTTTGCTATGGAACATGTCCTCCCACTGAGTGTCGGGATGTCGTGGGGTCAAGTACGAATTGATTTGTTGGATGGAGTTTGCCAGTTTTCATGGGCACCAATCGTGTTGCTGTTCACTTTGGATTGGCAACACCACTCCCTGCATGTTCTTTGGATCAGGCCGGACATTGGCCTTGCATGCCCTTTGTCGCCCAGCAGACTCGTTTGGATCACGATGGCATTCTGATTGAGCATGGCACTTGCATGCACTTGTCAAAGTTTAGCAAAATTTGTTGAAGAGTTGGATTTCAGTTTGTCAGATTCGGTCAAATTACTTGACTACTTGTGCCAATTGTACCCATGCCATACCGAGCCACTTCCCCATGCTATGGCAGGTCGAAAGCACACGCTTTGGTCTTGCAGAACTGGACTGGAAAGATCTTCCTCCAGGACCTCATAAGATCATCGGATATCGGATGTGCCAGATATTGCCCCAAATCAAAAAATGAAACCGTGAGATACCGTGAGAAAATATATGAACATTGCCTTCCAAGCACGAATGATCAAAGTTCTTCAAAGTTGCTTTTGTAGCGGCTAATATTTACGAGTATTCGTAAAAGACTCATTCTGTTTGCTTGGCAGCAGGATCTTGGCTCAGCGCATGGCACCTTTCTGGGTGGTGTGCGACTGAAACCGCATGAGCAACTTGGCTCCAGGTTGGTGATGCAGCATGTTTTGCCATCTGAAAACCCCTCCATACCCATAAGGCCATAAGAGCCCATAAGTCAACAAAGTACTCACCGGGTTTGTAGGAAACGGTCCTCAGGCCCTGCGAATGGAGACCTGGTGTGCAGGCCTGACCTGAGTGGTCAAATCGATCTGGTGAAGAGTTACTTCGTATTACTTCGTTTACTTTATTTTGTTCTCCATCTAAGCACCGACTGATCTAGCAGAGTTCCAGCTTTCAATTTGGTAGGTATGTTTTGCAGATTCCCAGCTGGAGTTCTTTGAACTACGAGTCGCCGAAAAGTCCCTGGGCGCCTTAAGAACAATCAATAGGTGTGCCGTCCCGAATCTTGCACCATGACCCTGCACCAGCACAGCATGCTGCATCGTGCTGCATAGCCTGAAACCGTTTCTGCATCCTTCCACCCACCATACCCACCAAGGTAACAAAAATAGACTCAGCGCCCATTGGGGCGGAAAATGTTTGAGCTCTGCCTGCTGACGGGCCAACCATAGCCACATCCAACTATTTCAGATGAATGCTCTGCATTGGTGGGTTCTCAAATTCATAGCCGTTCATAGACACCCACTTAAACCGCAAATCGTGGGAGAGTCGCCCTCACCAGCGTTTGGTCCTCCATGGTCCTCCCGCTCTGGTCATGATATCTAGGGCTCGAAGCAAGCGGCCCTCAAAGTTCTCAAATGGGAGGACGCACGCAGGCACAAAGCTGCAAAATAATACACACATGGTGAAAAGTGGTCAAACTAGAAAGCTACCAAATCTATCCAAACCTACCAGCAAGATCCAACAAGCAGCTTGCTTAAGGCTTGAGTTCACGACTCCCACGAAGCAACGGCAACAGCTTAGGAAGCTTTAGCAGTTTTGCGGTTTCTGTTGCGTAGAATACCTGTCTCGAATCGAAATTAGGAGCCAACAGCAACAGATACTATTGAAGTTGGAAGTTGAAGCACTCGACAAATGTTTCACTTCATAAGATAAGACAGAGAATACTCCACAGACATGGCCATTGGCAGCCCTGGGGATGCAGAAAACGCTGAAGACCTCGACATTGAAGAACTTGCACTGGAAGGGTTGAAGCTTCTGAGATCAAGTCCTGCCTATGCAGTCGCTCGGTCACTGGAACTTTGGCGACAGCAGGAGGAAGAACGTGCAGTGGTTCGTTTACAGGAAAAAGAGCGAGAGATGAGAGAACGTTTGGAGGAGGAGTACCGACAACGTGAGTTGCAACGAGCTCAAAGCTTTCGACATCAACAGGCCGAGCTGAGAGACTTGGAACAACGTGCCAAACGAAAGTTGCTGGAGATGCAGCAGCGCGAGGCCGCGGTGAAGTCGGAAATGGCCAAGACCAAAAGTCTCAGCGAAGAAGCGCGGAGGTCTGCTGACCTGGCCATCCAGAGCTGTGAGGACTCCATGCGTCGCCAAAAGGCTGAAGCAAAACAGTCGCATGATTTCGAAATGATGCGTCAAACTCAACTTGAAAACCGGATCAAAGAGTTGGAGGCTGAAATTTCCGAGACTCGAGTTCGGTGTTCTGAGCTGCAATCCACCTTGGCAAAACAAGCCGTTGAAGAGGTAGAGTTGCAAGAGAAACGCTTTGCATCAGCCTCAAACCTAGTTCAGGAAGAACTTCAAAAATTGCAGCTGCAGATGTGTGAGGAAAGGGTAAAGTGCGAGACTTTGGCTGCTTCGAGAGATCATTTCCGACGGAAGGTGGAAGAACTTTGCCGAAAATTGTTGGAAAAGGAGGAGCAGATTCAAAAGTCTGAGGTGCAATGTTTCAAGCAAACCGGCGCCTCAAAGGACGCGGCACCTTCAGGAAATTCTGTCGATCGCCAAAGCGATGGGCACTGCAACGCTGCGTCAAATGCGTCACAGCACTTTACCCTTGACTGGCTGCAGAAGCAGAAGGGCGAATTACTTGCGACTGGACTCTACACAGAGGCTGCTCGGCAAATCTTGGTAGTGGATCTGGGCATATCTGGGCTAGGTGGATGTAATTGATGCAAAATGATGCAAACATAATCAAACATACAACCCTGTGAGAACTTGCAGTGACATTGTGACATAGTTTGACATGTTTGACAGTGTTTGCTGTGAAGCCTCTAGCTGAGGAAGATGCCGTGATTCGTGCACTGAATGCTCAAATTGCAGAGCAGGCGCATTAAATTGAATCATCCTCTGACTGACGCAGCCAACTTTTTTTTCACTGAATGTCCTGGTCTGGCAACTGCTTGGGCTGCAGGGGAGCCCGAACAAGAACCGTAGGGGTGCAAAATGTGTGAGCTGCCTTCCCTTGTTCTTATTTTTTTCTATTTTTTCTTATTTTTTTAATTATATTTGTTGATTTCTATGATTTCTTGCAAACTTGGGCAACGGATATCACTGCATGCTTCGGAAAAGGGTACATGTAGAGCAAAAGAACGGATTATAAGTAATTATATACATTACGGATAAGACATGTGATCAAAGGTGTGATTTGTTGTAAGCGACTCACGGCTTTTGAGAATGAACATGTTGGGGAGGGGGGGCAGGGCGGAACAAAAATCACGAGAGTGTCCGGTGCGTTCCGGTGCCATTTTCAGCATGCGACCAGTTTGAATGGACATTGAACATCAAACAGTTGCTGCTTACACCATGGCAATTTTCCTGATGTTCACATATGACCCAGTAAGCAAACCAATCGACCACAAGTGCAAACTCGATTTGATTTGCTCTTTCCAACAGTGGGTCCGTTCGGTGAGCTTCAGGCGCGCTGTGACACTCAGGGCACGACATAATTTCGAAACCAAACAATTTTGCACGATTGTGTACGATTTTGTCATGTTTTGTCAATCTGTTTTTGCAGGTTCGGCTTCCGCACATAAATTGCAACTCGTGTTCAGGTGAAGGCAATGCCAGAAGTCGTCCAAACCACAATAATTCGTGTCATTGAAGAATTGACATGTGAAATTTGTTGCATCGATGATGGCAACATGATCATAGCACGTAAGGTGATGAACGCATTGCGAGGAACACTGTCAGAGTTGCACCAGTCTCAGAAGTGTCGAAGTGAGAGATCTGTGCAGTCCATTTGGTACATTTTGGTACCTTAATTCTTGCAGGTTGATATAGAAATTTGATGTCATTATATATAATGTCAATTAATTATATTACATATCATTACATTATATAAATTAACATTAATTAACATTAATATGTAATTTTACATAACATATATATATATAACATGTTCTGGTCGGATGGTCAAGACCGAGGGCTTGGCCACTCGCAGCTTTCGAGGCTCGATGTCATGCAGAATTCGACTAGTCCATTGAATGTATCCCATAGGATCCATGTATGGTATATTAATGGTAAATGTTACCATATATGGCATACATGGATCCTATGGGTATTGAATTCCATTGAGTGGCCTGTTTTGATGAATGATACGAATGTCAGCTCCCATTTGGCCAAGATGGCCAAGGATTTTGATAGCGCATCATGGGGAGCATCGATATGAAGTGCACAAAGGGACGATGAGCAAAATGTGAAGTGCAATTGAGGCCACCGCGGCTAAAACAGAAGAGGAAGGAGGTCAGAGATGCTGGAGGAATCTGGAGGATCTGGAGGGTGAGCGAAGCGGAATGATCAATCCGGATGACTTCAATGACTCCTTGATTCTTTGGTCCGTTCTTTCCTTCCAACATGATTTTACTCTTTGGACCTCTTTGGTATGATTCAGTCATTACCACTCAGTCAATATCAGTCAATCAGCTGTCCAGGCGGCGGTGCAACAGTAGCCATCATTTTCCTTCTCCTCTTGGTGGTTATGGGGGTGTGGACGCTGAAATCTGGGATGATCTGGGTTTGCCATGGTTTGCCATCAATTTCCTTAGGTTCCTTAGGTGAAAAGCAGATAAAAGCTGTGTATTCTTGGTGGTTCTTGGTAAGGTCATGGGATGTAATGGATCTACTTGCAGCTCACTATTGTAAGTGGCGCCGTGTTTGGGACCTTGACACAAGATCCAATCCCTTGCAGTTGCCTTTCACATCCATTCACCTTAGAGTAATTGCCCAATGCACTTACTTGCAGAAAGATTCTTGTATATGTTGTATACTATTTTCATTAATTTTGTATAATTATAATTATATGATATTATATGTTCACTTCTTTTGCTCTCTCAATACGTTCATAGTAGTTCGCAGTTGTTCCTCTATGCTATCCACGTCAAAGGTAACACTAATCAGCCTTTCTGTTCAGACATTCATAGTCCGGCGGGGCATGTTCTGTATTGTTTCATGAGGTTGTTGGCTACTTTTGGATGCAACGGCGTGAGAGGATGATTCAGGCGTATGCGGAGGACGGGGTTCAAAGCAAAGTCGCTTGCAGTCAAGGCTATCTTGAACAATCGCACCTTTGAAGCTTCAAACAAAACAGAGTCGGCATCACCTTTTCGCGCCTTTTCGCATGTTCCTTCCAGCTGGGAGATGCTGCAAGGAAGACGCTCGCATGCGCAGCAGTATACCAGAGATGCAGGCACTGGAGTTCCGCATTCCAGAACTGTCATGACTTGAAGCCGCTGCAATCGTTGCAATCGTTGCATCATGAAATCATCATGTTGCAGCTGCTTGTGGCTGCTAATATTTGCTAATCATGTTTGGCACCTTTTCCATCCTTTTTCTTGCATCTCACCTGGCCTATCCTGGTAGCCAGAGGCTCGAATTAAGAACAAACACATGCAGTTCCGGCACAATTGACGAGAAGTGATAAAGTCAAGATTGCTTGGAAAGACCGTGTAGAATGAAGAAAATCAGACAGCAATTTGTCAGAGAAACTCGAATGCACCGCGATGACTTGCTTAAATATAAGAAACATCCAGTCAAGTCATTGGAACATATCGGAACAGCCAATCAGATGGAGAAATCGCACAAGCCATGATATGTTCAAAAGGTGCTTCCATGGTTCGCTGAGAAATGGGGCAGGCCGCGAGTTGCTGCTTCACTTGTTCCCGAGAAGCGGAAAAACTTGAAGATTAAGCAATCGCAGACTGAGAGCACATTGTTCTATGTTTTGCTTATTCATTTTATTCCTTTTTAGACATTTGACTTCTGTTGAATTCTCATGCTTTCGGAACCTAGATGTTTTTCGATGGCGAGGCCGCAGCTTTCGCCCCCTGCGTGACACGGGTGAAGGGTGACAATGGCTCTCAAGATCCACAGCAGCTCGCGGTGTGGCTTAGCAGCAAGGTTACAGATGTTACAGCCCACTGAACGACTCAGAACTTCGACAGAGAGTATTATGTTTTGATATTTGTTTGGTTAGTATTGTCGTCATATTATGTCGTCATATTTTAATCATTATGGCATGGTTATTACTACTAGTAATACTAGTAATGAAACGGTAGTACTTACTTATTATATATTTATTTAATTTATGTTGTGCGTGCTGATTTCTGGCCACATTCAGCAGGTCCCGCACAGATCTTGCAAACAATTTTGTGTCATTGGTGTTTGACGTGACAATTTGCTAGGTCTTTGGCGAAAGTCGAGAAGCTGTTGCTCGATACAGAGACCCTACAGCGGGAGTCTGCACCTGATTTTTGGGGAGCAATGGATATCAATGGATCAGGTGATCTTTACACCTTCAGTCTCCTAGAGTTAGTCGTTTCCACATGTTCCCACAGTGTCACAGGTGTGATGCACACTTTCGTAGAGCTGGGCTGGATGCCCATGGGACAATGAGGTTGGCGCGATTTGTGGATTGTGTTCAGTACATTCATTCTATATAATTATCATTAATTAATTATCTATAGTCTATAGTTTGGAATTCCAACATTGGAGACCATTGGAGTGACATCAAATGATATCAAATGATATCAAAGGCAGTATTTGCCATGGTCTTTCAAGATGTCCCTCGCCATGACTTTGTTGCATGGTTGCCTTTTACGACAGGCGAGTAGAGCTGCGGCGATTGCTGTGGACCTTCGCACATTCTTTGGGCTCAACTGAGCTGCTCGCCAGGGGGTGAAGCCAAAAGATATTGGATAACTACAGAAGAATATATATACAATAGTCAATTTCGGGTTATCCAATATTGGATATAACTATAGTGGATCAAGACTCCGAGATGAAAAATGTGGATGACGAAATCTCCACTGCTTTTTTTTAGCCGCGCATCAGGTTGACATGGGAAGCCATTGAGGTTGGGCCCAGAAACAGCAGGACTTTAAGGAAGAGAAAGAAACTTTGCAGACCTGCCATGGATTTTTTCCAGGACTTTGATAGACTTTTGGGCCGTTTTTAATTGGAGCAGTTGCACAAAGCATGGCCATGTGGCAGTGGAAGCTCCACCTTTTCAGTCTTGAAAAGGCCTTTGCGGTGACTGGCACCCTGGAAGCAAACGTCCCAGTGGTGACCAAAGAGGAGTTTTTCAGGCTGGATCCAGAGCATCCATTGACCACATACCAAACCAGACCATGTCTGTGAATTCACGAGACGATCAGCTTCCTATCGGCCCTTCTTTGCTGGTAGTGTTCCATTGCATGTTGAATGCCACGAGTCAAATTCCTGTGTAGAGGGTTTTGCTGGCATTTTGGACGTCAAAGCTCACCAGAGCCAACACTCCAGCAACACGGTCCTCGCGAAGGTGTGTCACCAAGACAGTGCACCTGGTTGCCAGTGAACTGCGCAGAAAGCTGCAGGAGGTCCGCAGATGTGCATTCAGGTCTTTCCAGATGCCATACAAAAAGGGTCCAGTGACTGATGAGACGCGCATGCTACTGTATCACATGGATACAAGTTGATGCACTACAAACTGAGACATCCAAAAGCCATTTGTTTGCAAGGTTTTGCCAAACTGCAACAATATTGGACGATTTGCAGAAGAATTCACGATTCAGGCAAAAACTGCCGATTCAAATTACTCTCTAAAATGTCTCAGGAAAAACAATCTATATCTATTTCCCGCCCTCTCCAAAGATTAAATCCAAAGCTGAAAGACAAGAATCGCGACGAATGCCAGCGAACTTAGTGAATAATTTCTAGATCATAATACAACGCCCATTGCAAATACGTCTTTCTAAATTAGTTTCTCTTTGTCTAAGTATTTGCTTGTCTCAAATGCCACGTGACTGAATAGGGTCATGTGTGTTTCTCTTAGTCATTTGAGGCTTGTAGAAGACACAGTCAAACAAGGAACGCTAAAATCACCCAATGGACGCTAAACATCGCCATTTGGACGGCCAAAATCGCCGTTTCGTTTTCAAAACCTTTGGCTTCACCTTTGCTTGCCTGACACTATGTCTTTAATATCCTTGGTGGCCTTGCAAACTGACTTGTACTGAAGCCCGTGTACTCGGCATTAGTCAATTTTATACAGGGCGATGTATGCCAAAAAAGGATTAAAAAGGAAGGTGACTGACTAGGTCATATGCAAGAAGGGAACTACAGGGAGCCATTGAGCAAATCATGGCACCCCTACTTGTTCCAAGATGCACCAAATCCATCCAAATTCGACAAACTCAAAAAGTGACGGTTCGCAATATTTACGCCTGTTTGCCAGAAGACATTGTTTTTTCACAAAAAGAATCCGGATGGTGCAGTGGCAGTGAATGATTTCTAGCATCCTTCAGTAAAAATGTGTCATCGGGTTCTCGATAGGTGGAAAACAAGTTGCGACCACTTCCACGAAGACCACCTGAGAGAGCGAACGTCTCAGATTGGGGATTGTGTTGAGTCAATCACAGTTTCTAATAATTAATTACTTGTAGTGTCAGTCTGTGTTTTTTATTTCTACATGTCACAAGAGTTACTGAGCTCAGGGGGTGTAGTTGGGTTCAGTGGGGCATTTGGTTGTCTTGAGAATGTGGCCGAAGATGTAAGTCGCCAACAAGCAGGGCAAAAAGCGTGTCCCGCTGTACTTCGCACACCGGATTGCAGAGGCTCCAGAGCAGAGTGGACCTACCCCAAAGACACCGGGCAGGCGGAAGCCGGAGGAACATAGCGAAGCATAGCGAAGCCGGGGAGTACTGTAGTTGACGAGTCAGACGAGTCAGACGAGTTACTGTATGACTCTGTATGTAATCTCGGACGGTGTGAGGCACTCAAGCCCTTGGGCGGCTATGGCAGAATTGAGCGGTGCTTTGACCAAGAGAAATCGACGGAGATAGGATATGATGTCTCAGTCATCTCAAGTCATACACAGGGCCAAACCAAAGCGATCACTTGGATCACTCGTGAGGACGCACTAGTGCGCAGAATGTTGAAGAGATATTCATTCAGGAAGCCTTGACTCTGACATACTCTGACGGTAATACACTAGTGACAAGAATCAACTGTTTGAACATGAATGAACATGTTTGAAAATGTTTGAACATGTATCCACTGTCACCATTGTCACCACCAGATACCACCAGTAGCTCAGCCCGAAGCTGTCAGCAACTCTCTGCAGTGAGGCAGCGAAGAAGAGTCTCCAATCTCTTCGCACCTTGTTTTCAGAAACAGTGGGATTGCATGAAAGAGCTGTGACAGATTCAAGGAGTAATAATTCACCCCGCTTCGCGTGGGGTGGCCGCCCACACCGCAGGTTTATTTCGGTCCGTGAGAGGGGCTAAGGGTGGTTTTCCCCCGTGGGGGCTCTTCAAGCTAAGAAGTTTCAATAAGAAATCCTTCCAAAACATTGTTTTTGACAGTGGTTTTCCAATGTTTCCAGTCAAACAGACGGTAATTTACACGTTTTTTGCCATAAAGGCAGTAAATCCTTCCAAAACATTGCTTTTGACAGTGTTTTTGTAATGTTTCCAGTCAAGCATACGGTAATTTACACGTTTTTTTGCTATAACGTCAGTCCAAAACACTTGTTTTTGCAGTGTTTTCAATGCTCTGGCATCCAAAAACCCTGCAAAATCTTGCTATGTACAATGTTTTTTTCATTTTTGGCCGTTTTTCCATTGCCGGAAAGCTACCAAAATGACCCAAAATTCCATTTCAATACCCTCTTGCGCTCAGACACCCAAAAATCCTCGAAAAATGTCGAAAACACCACCGTATTCTGCTCTCGGTGCGAAACCGTTTTTGGGGTCTGGTCTCGGTGCGAAACCGTTTTTGGCCCCCCCCCCCAGCTAAAGCTGATATAGCGACTGCTATATTAACAAATGTCATTGAGCATTTAGTGTTGCTGTTGCCCCCCAATAAGCACGCCTTCACCGCCAAAGCGGTGTGGGCGGATTTATTGCATGTTGTCCAAAGATGTGCGATGTTTGATCATATCTTGCAGCCAAGGCCCAGATCGTTAAATGGCCCCGAGGCTGTGCTGCAGGATGCCATCTTCAGACCAGCCCCATGTGGCCCATGTGCTGCACCAGAGGAAGGGATGCACCGATGCTAGCGTTGATCTGCAGGGCTTCACTGAAGATTGAGCGATAAATTTGGCACATAAAGCAGAGAAAGGAAATTCAGTGTGTGTGTATATATATATTATATATATATTATATGTATATTATATATATAATATACGTAGTAATATACAGATGTATATATAAATTTAAATCGATGTATATAGATCATCCATACCATTCGATACCAAATCCCATGTTCAGGATTCCATTATGGGATGGATGACCATAGCCATACCCCAAATACATCCAATAATACATCCAAAAGAAACATGTTCTGACTATTGGAATCTATTGGACATATAGATAAAGAATGATGAAGATAATATGAACTATAGTTAATGATAGTTAGTATAACAATAGATAAGATAATGCATATATAATATGTTAAATTCTGGGAAGCGGAAGCTTTAGAGTCGATGCATCTCAGGAGAAACATCCTGGTCCTGTAGCACATGAAGCCAACAAACGCCCTGTGGAGGCTTCCGATTTGTGCGAAAGCCATGTCCTGCAACGTAATGCGCTAGGGATAAAAGATAGTCTACGAGTCTACAATATCCTGCTGGTAGCTAAGGCTGCAAGCAGCCAGATACCACACAGGGAAATGTCAGTGACAGGCTGATGAAACTGAGCCTGAAGCTGTGGGGATCCAAAGCGCCAGAGACAGAAACCGACCATCCTGTTCCGTGGTTGAGCCTTTACTATAGCCCTAGTGGCTGGTTGAGCCTTTACTGTAGTGGCTGGAACAACCTGTTTCAAAAGGTTGACTTTGGGCCAGGCCATCATAGCACTCATTCCCAGCCTGCATCGTGGATTTTCTTCAGGAATCCTTCTTTCGGCCAGCTCCAGAGCCACAGGTGCCTGCAGACGACTGGTTTCATTGGTTTCAACTTGATAGGTTCATCAAGGTTCATTGCTGTTTGTGTGCGCGTGGCTAGCGTTGCTTCATCCTGAGCTAACTGTTAGTCATTGCAAGCGCTGGGAATGTCCTCAGCTCTTTTTGGGACCAAGCTGGCATAGCAACTGATTCGTGGATCAGATCATAGCAGGTCCCATGTTGGGACAAGAAGCATTTGTGCATAGTTTCGCTGCCACTGAGCTGGTGGACTTGGAAAATGGCATTCTGAAGCTCCCACCGCTGGCAGTGTGGGGAAACTTGGCCATTTACATCGTGGCCTGGGGCCTTTTGATGTGGCCACAACATCTTCCTTTGGGTCGGCCATGCATTGCGATGGTTTTTGCAGCCATGGCCTGTGGCTTAAGAGAGCTTTGTCACAAGGCATGGCCTGAGGAAAACTATCCAACTGTGGACATCTTTGGGAAGATCAATCCTACACCCATCGCTTTGCTCTTTGGCCTCATGCTGGTGAACGCATACCTGAAGGTGCGGTGAGGCTCAATTGACTCACAATGACATAATATATATTATATACGATAATATACGATAATATACGTATATATATATGGTTGCATATCAACGGTTAGGTAGGTTTGGGATAAGCAGCTGACTCTCATGATGCATGTTCTAACTCGATCGTTTCCCTTGCGCTCTATATATATTATAATATCTCTCTCGAGTTTATTATATATATATGGAGTCTCCTTTTATTTTATACCAAGTGCAGTGTCCTGATGTGATCACTAAGGACTCGATGCGGTCGTTTGCCATTTTGGCACAAAGAACGAGTGATCACAGTCAGGCCACAGCTCTTTTTGATCAAAGAGGATCGCTGTTTTTAGGGCCTGGGACTGGATCACTTAAGTATGTCTTTTCCTCCTTGTAGCCCGGCTCCATTGGAACGTCAGAGAGCCATGGCAGCTGCTCGAGCCAGTGTTGGAGGTGATCACCTTGCACCTGAGGACAGTGCCTCACAGGTGTCCTGGAGTGTGGTCGTGGATGAACAGCGCAATGTGGAGCCTGTTCAGGAAGTGCCAATGCAGTTCCCTGAGCCTAAGGCACCACCGCCCGGGTTCAGACACCAAGGTGGGCCGGCTCCTGGCTATGCAGCCCAAGGACAGGATCAACCCAAGAGTTGTGTGTCAAGCTCAAGCGGAAGTGCACCCTTCCCACCTGCTGATGCGGCTCTCTTTTTCACTGACCCTGCTCAAGCCCCTGCTCAAAGTGCTGCTGCTCCAGCTACTCAGGCAGCACGTGATTTGCTTGGAAGCGCTCAGAAGCAGGCAGCTCGCCTGGCAAAGCAGAAAGCTCAGGCAAAGAGGCGTGGTCATCGTGCAGTTAGGTGGGGACAGATGCCTGGCCTTGATGCTCAGAATTTCCAGCTCCCAACGTTCATCAGGCAGTTGGGTGCTGGCCAAGATGAACGATCAGTGCTTGTGATTGATAGCCGCGATCGGCGCATTCAGTCCCCCTACCAGGGATGGCTGCTGGACGAGATCTTGCTGAACGCCCAGTCTGGAGTGAACGTCCTGGTCGATCGACAACTTGTCAGATCGCCAAACAAGGGCTACCACCTCAACTTGTTCTATGTGAGGACGATGGACGGGTTCAAGTTCATCTTGGTAGGATCAATGACGTCTTACGGGACGGTGCCAGCAGCTCGCTGGGATGCAGACACGGGGAAGATCATGGCCCACCCGGCCTTTCAACCTTTTCGTTGGCCGATGATGACTGACGAATCTGCAACCTGGGTCGATGTGAAAGTCAAGGTTGAAGGAGGTCTTCTTCTACACCTTGAGCTGCGCGGCTACCGATCGAACACTGACATGACGGTTCAGATGAACTACGTCAATGATGCTCTCATGGCGAACCTTAGGGACTGCCTTTTTGTGCCGTCCTGCATCGTCACGGTGTTCCACGGATGGAGGGTGGTGGCAACCTCGTTCGAGGTGGGAGGGCGTCTGTACGCCTGCAGTGATGGTGGGACGGTCGTGGCCCTGGACTTTCCTTTGTGCCACTTTGAAGTCCGGCTCACTGCGCTCTCTTCCACGGACTCGATCGGGATGGATGCAGACCGCTTAGAGTTCCGATTCAGGTCATCCGGTGATCAGCTGGACGTTGCATGTTCTCAGGTGGTGGTTCCATCAACTTGGCTGGTTGTGTCGCGTGTGTCTGGGCCCACCTTGATCAAGAATGCTCGTTGGTGTCGTGAGCATCATGCAAGGGTGGAAGGCCCTGATCAGACCATGCAATTGTCACAGCTAGCCGGGATCCATGCACACTGGACTGCATCGATCGAAGCAGAGTCCGTTGATGACACGGGTCCGAGGGTGAGTGCGGTCGCGGTGGATTCTCACCCGGCCAACTATCACCTCACCTGTGAGTCTCCCTTGTTCAGGGCAGCGAAGTCGTTGGTGCCAACCGATGCACTGGCTCTGCAGGCGCACAATGTGGCTCTGGAACAGGAGACGATCGTGCTCCCGCCAGTGACGGGTGGGCCATCAGTGGTGCCAAGATCATCAGTTGCGGCCCCTCTGCAAGCATTGGCTGGACCGTCGGCTCCTGCACTGGTTGTGGCGCCCAATGTTCAAGCCGAAGTCTCCATGACTGAGCCGGGTCAAGCCCCAGCCTCGGGAGCCATGGGAGGCTCGGTACATGTGCAAAGGCGATCGCTTGAAGCTCGCCAACAAGAGAGGATCTCAGTGGCAGCCGTGACGCCACAAACTTTTCTTGATCAGGTGTATCAGGCGGTCCCGGGACGCCCAGTCAGTTTTGGACCGGCTCCGACCGTTGAAGAAGTGACGGAGACCTGACCTTGATCAAGAAGTTTGAAATTCACCGAGTTTGCAAGGTGGCGGAATGTATCAGGCCGCAGCACGATCGCTGGCCGAATGCTCTGAAAAATCATTAGCTGCTGCGAGAGCTGTGCAAACACCCTCAGTTTAGGTCTCTTGTTTTCCCGTTGTTCACCCTGGTTTTTCCCCGTTTTGGTTTGGTTTAACTTGGGTCAATGGGTTTCCTAGGGACCTAATTTCTGAGGTGTTTGCTCTGTGAGACCCCACAATTGTGAACGGGTGGGATTTGATCACATCCAGCTCGTTCATGGGGACGACTCCCATATTTTCCACTTGGCCCAGGCGAGGGCCCCAGTTTGCTCGGCTGTGGGATCTCAGACCGGACGTGATGTTAGAGCGACTGTTCCGATATGGGGTATGATCTCCATAGCTCTGGTCAGTCATCTTTCTCTGTCTGGTCGATCGACCACATAAAGCTGTCAAGCTTTTGCATTTATGATTTTGGTCACGATTTATGCATGATACAAGTTGATGTATTTCGTTCATTTGATTTTAATTGCTCTTTGACGCCACGCCTGTGACACCACCTCATGCAGTAGTTCACACATGTTTGCATGTTCATGCTTTTGAGGCGTTAAGGTTCGAGGTGCAATGATTGCTCTCTTAACCGACTTGACACTCTCATGTGTGCACTGTTCATGTTGTGTGGGGGTTCACAGGGAAGTCATGGCTCAAAGTTCTGATCGCTGGACATCTAAGATTTTGTGTCTTCCAATTTTCTCTGATGCCTTCGCTCAGGCGCTGTTGGCTTCACCTTATGCCAACTTGGCGCTGGTGTCAGCGATGGAGGTGCGATCGGGCCCGGAGTTCACCGTGAAGGTGCACGACTGGTCAGCATCCCTAGAGGAGACCATTCGTGATGTTTTGCTCAGCAACAGTTTTATGCTGGAACAGTTTTGGAGTCTAGCTACTTCGATCGAGAAGACATTTTTCGAATCCTCTGCAAATCAGCTGGGTTTCGGGCAGTGCGATCCGACTACTTTGGCGTTGAGTGCCGAGACCGCTAGTGCTCGTAGGGCTAATGCCATCAAAGCTCTGTTGCACAAGCCGGCTCAACCGCCCAGGAAACTGCTCAAGAAGTCTGATTCGGATCCGACGTCCACACCGCTGTTGGACCAGGAGAATGCCGCTCGGTGGAAGTGGGCTTCTAAACTGGAGGCCATAGGGAAACGGGCGGGTCAACACTCCAAGCTCTTGCTGGATACCACCAACAGCCAAGGGCTCTCGCCGGGTGAGACCGCTCGGCTACGCCAATTAGTGTTGGCATCGGGGGCTCCACGGACTATGTCGGCCCACATCTCCGCATGGGAGCGGTTCGAGGAGTGGGCCAATAGTGTTGGGATCCCCGTTTTTCCTTTGTCTTCTGATTTGATTCTGAAGTATGCTCTAGCTCTTGACGAGAAAGAATGTGGTCCCACAGTTTTGCCTTCTTTTAGGATGTCAATTAAGTGGGTAACATCTAAACTGGCGATCGACTGCCCTGATTTGTCCCATCCCGCTCTCTTGGCGGTTCAGTCGGACGTCATTCAGAAAAGGGCCACCACATTGAAAGAAGCCCAGCCCATCCCGATCGTGGCGGTCGGAAGTCTGGAGCAGTTCGTCACAGACGTGCAGCAGCCAGAGGCAGCTAGGCTCTTTGCATGGTGGTGGCTCTGCATGGTCCTCTGCATGGTCTTCGCATCGCTGAGGTTCGACGATGCCATGCATGTCAGGCCAACTGAGTTGATCATGAAAGACGAAGGGCTCTTTGGCGTCGCTTGGCAGACGAAAGTCGAGCGCAAACGCCGTGGCACGAAGTTCGTAGTGCCGAGAGTTGGCTTTCGTGATTCAGCCTGGCTTGACATTGGCTGGGACCTTTTGCAGCTCGAAGATTTGGATCGTGACTTCTGGATGAGAGACTTGAACACCCAGACGGAGTTCAGGTCTGCACCAGCTCAATATCAACGTTCCATTCAGTGGCTGCGTTTCATTGGCAAGCTCGCCATCAAGACCTACTTTAGTGGGCCTGAGGGTAAGCTCAATGAGGCCGTGGACGGGTTGCTCAAGGTCACAGCCCACTCAGCTCGGGTCACCATGTTGGACGCTGCAGTACATGCTCGTCGATCGACGGAGGAGATCGGACTGCAAGCGAACTGGAAAAATCCGGGTCCTCTAGTGTTGAAATACACCAGGAACCGGACCAGCGTACCAGCTCAGATGGTTCAACAGCTGGTCACAGACATGGTTGACAATGAGCACCCGTTCGAGGCTGAAGAGGATGTCGTGCTCGACTCCGTAGATGAGACGGCTCTCAATGAGGTGCAGTTCTACGTCAAGACGGAAGGCGCTCGTGCCTCCCGTGACTATCGATATCACTGCTCGAAAGAGGAGGACGATGAGATGGTCGCATGTGGCAAGCTCGCCGTCCGTGACTGCACTGCCGTTGGGGCCGCCCTGCCAGATCCTTCCGTGCTCTGCAAGCAGTGTGCCAAAGCTCGACCAGATGTGGCTTCACGATGCTTCTCTGCTCAGAGCGGAAGTGTTCGGGCATGAGTCTCAGCTGCAATTTTGCTTTTGGAAGGTGATTTATTTGTTTTGTCAATGATTTTCAATTTGCATTTTCCGATGATAATCTCAGTTTGGCTCTAAGCTATTACACAATTAATCATGGTGGATCGCACCGTGTACACCCCGGACAAGTTGCCGGAGCTCCCATTGCGGCAGATCTTTGGTCGGCAACGAGTTCCGGAAGACTTGTGCCGGCTCGTGGCTGATGTGGGTCTCCGCAGCGTGGAAACGTTCGCCATGCTGGGGGACATGATCACAACGGTCAAGCAGACCTTGAAAACGATCATACCAGATTCTGCTCGTTTCGGCGATGATGCGCCGGCGCAGGAGCTTGCTCTTACAGCTCTGGCGGCCGTCTGGAAGCAGTGCTCCACCATGCAAGATCACTTCGCAGCTCGGCGAGCCAAAATGGAAGAAGACCCCAGCAAGGTCCCAGAGATTCCAGGCGAAGATCATGCTGAGTTTCGTGACACGTTCGTGGCTCGTCACCCTGACGTGCTCTTGCCCATGCATCGAGAGCCTCATCGGAAGTTTGTCGAACGTGTTCAACGAGACTACTTGGTGCACGGCTTTGTTCATTTCTACGAAGTCGGCGAGATCCGCACCAGGAATGAGCAGATCGCTCAGAAATCTGGGCTCTCCAAAAATGCAGAGGATCTCTTGCGTGTGGTGATGGTAGATCAGCCTAGTGCGGCTAGTTCAGAATCTCAGGTGATGGACAAACTGCATGCGTTCTTCATTACCTTAGAATACTTGAACATCTGTGAGTTCTCCGTGGCAGCCGGGCCCCTGAAATACTTGTCTGATCTGGAGGAGTGGCGCCATGAGAACCGTGGCCTGGCCTTGCTCTTGGCGGCTGATGCGTTGATCCGCAAGAAAGTTCATCGAGTGAGCTCCGATCAGCGCAAGACATTTGGCACGTTCTCTGCCGCCTTGCTTGAGGTCTTGACCAACCACAAACAGCTGTGGAATGACGCTCGATCAAGCGCAGAGTTGGACAAGTTCAAGCAGGTGCTGCAGACTACGGCGCCATCTACACCGTCAAAGAAGCGCTCCAGATCTCGCTCGCAGTCAGCCCCGAAGGCTTCACCCAAAGCTCGAAAGAACAGGGCTCGTCGTGAACGCCAGAAGGCCTTGCTCAAGAAAGCTAAGGTTGGTCACGCCTCAACGCCACCTCCCAAGTCGGATCAGGCCAAGAAACCCGCTCGAGACGAACGGGTCCCGGCCCACGAATGGCAGAAGATTACTTCGTTCAAGTATCAAGGAGCCAAGCGATGCCCTTTCTTCAACTGCTCACTGGGTTGCCGCTTTGGTGATCACTGCCGCCAGAAGCACAGCTGTGTGGAATGTGGTAAAGATCACCCGTGGCACGGCAACCACTGAGCTCGGCCCAACTTTGAGGGGGCCTCACTGGAAGCGCCCCCCGGTCAATGGAGCTGTCCAGCCACAGTGTGTTATGATGGCTTGTCGGCATCTGCGCCGTCCGGTCGGAAAACGGCTGATTCTGAGCCGTTCACTGTGCCTGGTTGGTCCCAGTTGACCGAAGATTTCACCATTTTGCGCTCGCATGGCCCATTTTTCCTGGAAATTTTTGCTGGCCAAGCAGGCATCACAGAGGCTGTTCAGCTGATGGGTGTGCCTGCGCTGCCGCCAGTGGATGTGGTTGTCTCTGATCTGGTCAGCGAAGCAGCCGATGTGTTGGATCTGGCAGTGTGGGAGACTATCATGGCAATCATTGCTGCCAGGCTGGTCTTCTTGCTCCATTGTGGCACCCCGTGCAACACCTTCACTGCAGCTCGCAAAGATGACGGAGGACCTCCTCCACTGCGCTCTCGCGATGCTCCTCTTGGTCTTCCAGGACTCAGTTGGCAAAACCAAGCTCTTGTTTTTATGGGTAATCTGTTTTTGATCCGAACGTGCGAAGCTTGTACTCTTGTTTTTAATCTTGGAGGGAATTTCACGATCGAAAACCCCCTGTTGAGCCTCATGTGGGCTACGACAATGATGGACCAGCTCGTCCACGACACACGAGCTCTGGCTGTTGATTTTGATCAATGTGCCTTTGGGGCTCCGTCCAAGAAGCCCACACGTTTGTTGTGCTCAGCTGAACATTTCGAGGTGCTCCAGGTACTTTGTCCAGGAGGGCACGTGCACGAGTCTTTGAGAGGCAAAGTGTTCGACCCCCTTCAGGGCAAACTGGTGTTCAAGACCAAGGCTGCGCAGGTCTATCCTTGGGCTTTGTGTGCGGCGTTCGCCAGCGTTGCTCACGATCTATGGCAAGACCCTCTTCATGCTCTACAACCTTCGCTGCAGCTGACCACGCCCCCTGCGGATCGCAAACGCGAAGTGGGCTCCTGCAAACCGTGGCTCGGACACAAGCAGGAGGAGTCGGCTCTCAAAGCGCTCTGGGCGGGTTATCAGCTGAAGCGGGGTGCGGCCAAGCCTTTGTTGCATGTGGAGATGGAACCTGGCCAAGCGATCGAGGCGGCCTTGAACGTGATCCACCCTTTCACCATCGAGGCTCCTCTGGCAGCGATGGAAGAAGCAGCCGTCCTCCAACTTCGGCGCCCGTCTGAGGTGATCATGGCTGAGCGGGCGCGGTTGCTACAATTTTGGCATGCTCAGGCAGTGGCTTTATTGCCCCACTCAGTGGCGGCGATCCGGGCGCTGCCCGATCCCCATCTGCGGCGTCTGCTCCTTGGCACTGACGACCTTTCCGTGCCGCGCCTTGGTCAAGTTTGCCACGTCGCATTGTACGAGGCTATGCTCATGGCGTGCGGCTCGGTGGATCAGTCATTGCCCTCTTTTCTCTTGCACGGTTTTCCGATTGTTGGTGAGATCGCTCGCTCTGGTCGATGGCCTCCCTACAATAAGCCCCAGAAAGACATCCCGGTGCAAGACGCATTGGATAGGGCCTGGGTTCTTCGGAAGAAGATCATCCAACGTGTTCAATCAGTACAGATCTCTGACAACCTTCAGAAGATTTGGGATGCATCGATCGAAGATGTTGAGGAGAAATCGTGCTTGGGCCCCTTTGTGTCTGAAGAGGAGGTCACGAAAGCTCTTGGGTGCGACGATTGGATCCCAACTCAGAGATTCGAAGTTGTTCAGAAGAATAAAGTTCGTGGTTGTGACAGCGCCACGACAAACATGATCAATCAGATCACCCGGATCTCGGAGAAGCTACAACTGCCTTCTACAGACACGAATGTCGCAGCTCTGCGCAAGTTGAGAACGATCAAGCCTGGCGTGAAGCTGGCAGGGTGGGTGCTCGACGAGCGCAAAGCCTATCGGCAAGTAGCGGTGCGACCTGATCACCGGAAGTTCTCTGTTATTTGCTTGAAGAATCCGAAGACTGGTGCTCCCAATTTCTTCATCATGATAGGTCACTCATTTGGCTTGGTCTCAGCTGTATACAACTACAATCGCCGATCGGCGGCCATTAACGAGTTCTTGGTCTCGCTGTTCGGCTTAGTGGCTTTCAGCTTCTATGACGACAAATATGGTTTTGAACCTCTGGCGATCGCGGGAAGTGCCCGTGCAGTAGCTGAACATGTTCATTTCTGGTTAGGTGCGAAGTTTGATCAGAAGAAATTGCAGCTATCTACAGAGCCCACGATCCTAGGGGTGACTTACAACCTTGATCAGATGCAGTTGGAGATCAAAGCTGAGCGGAGAGAAGAGATCACCCAGGAGATTGAAGCGATCGTGAAGGCAGGCATTCTAGACCCTGGCTCGGCGGGGAAGTTGAAAGGTAAGCTCATGTTTGGCGCTTCTCAGCTCTGGGGAAAAGTTGGACGAGCTTTTCTGAGGGTCATTTCTGAGCGCCAATACCTTCGTTTCCCGATCGGTAGTGAGTTCAAACTAGATCAACCTCTGCTCGAGTCTTTGCTCCACTGGAAGAAATTGGTCAATGAGGGACCGCCGAGGCCGATCGAATCAGCTTCAGCTAAACTAGTGGATGCAGTGATTTTCACAGATGGTTTCACGCCGGATCCTAGGAAGAAGGAACGTTTGCCTGATCGTGTAGGAGCTGTTCTTTTTGATAGGCGTTTGAAACGGCCTATGCAATTCACGTCAGCTGTCTCCAAAGCCGTTAAGAGGCGGTGGCTTGAGCGCTCGACTCAGATTGTTCCTGTTGAGATGGTCGCAGCTGTTCTAGCCCTGGAGACTTTTGCTGATAGGATCCGTGGTTCAGATATCTTATTGCTCATAGATTCCGAGGCTGTTGAAGGTGCCTTGATCAAAGGCTACTCGAGCCGAGAGGATCTCTGTCAATTAATATCTGTATTTTGGGATCTTGCATTTCAGCTCCGAGTGAGAGTTTTTATCGATCGGATCTCAACTGATGCCAACCCAGCCGATTGGCCATCAAGAAATAAACTTTTCATAGGCGAGGCCGCAGGCTGGATCACAGTGAACCCCTGCTGGCCGAAGGCTCTGTTTGAGACTTAGGAGAGGGCCTGGGTCAGTGACTAAGCTCAACTTCATTTGCTCTCACCACATGCTTTGACCTGCCTGTGAAAGGCTCTGTGTTTAAGCGTTGTTTGGTTTGAGTCTATTTTTGAGCCTGGTCATTTGGCTTATGCATCTTACTGATCTGATGATCTGATCAGTGTCTCTGACAGTGACCTGCTCGCCCCATGCCCTGAGCAGCGTCCGCAAAAAGGATCTTTTTGCACATGCAGCTGTTCAGGCGCGTCGGTTTCTTGGATTGGGTTCTGATCAGTTAGAAAGTAAGAGGGATTCTCTCTTACGTTCATGAACAAGTGAGTCGGTTGCATATCAACGGTTAGGTAGGTTTGGGATAAGCAGCTGACTCTCATGATGCATGTTCTAACTCGATCGTTTCCCTTGCGCTCTATATATATTATAATATCTCTCTCGAGTTTATTATATATATATATATATATGGAGTCTCCTTTTATTTTATACCAAGTGCAGTGTCCTGATGTGATCACTAAGGACTCGATGCGGTCGTTTGCCATTTTGGCACAAAGAACGAGTGATCACAGTCAGGCCACAGCTCTTTTTGATCACCCAACCCAGCCCGCCCTCGTGAATGAGGGTGGGCTGGACTTCCAGCCCACACATTTTTCGGTGGGGTCAGTGACTAAGCTCAACTTCATTTGCTCTCACCACATGCTTTGACCTGCCTGTGAAAGGCTCTGTGTTTAAGCGTTGTTTGGTTTGAGTCTATTTTTGAGCCTGGTCATTTGGCTTATGCATCTTACTGATCTGATGATCTGATCAGTGTCTCTGACAGTGACCTGCTCGCCCCATGCCCTGAGCAGCGTCCGCAAAAAGGATATTTTTGCACATGCAGCTGTTCAGGCGCGTCGGTTTCTTGGATTGGGTTCTGATCAGTTAGAAAGTAAGAGGGATTCTCTCTTACGTTCATGAACAAGTGAGTCATATGTATATTATATATCTTTGGTATCCACTACAGTAGGTGAAGGGGACAAGGAGGGATTGTTTCAATATTCAGTTTGGGATGTCCACCCAAGATGAAAACTTGTTCTTTGCAGGACACTGGCATTTGGAAGTACGTGGAAGAGCTCTTGGACACTGCCTCCCCGACAAAGATGCTGGTGAACTTGTGCTGCTTGTCGGCTGCCACATCTGCGGTGCTGACCAATGACACCACTTGTTTGATGCTGACACCCTTAGTGATGAATCTCTGCAGGCGCCGAGGTGCACAGAGCACTTTGCCGTTCTTGATGGCAGTTGCCACCAGTTCAAACATTGGGAGCAGCCTTACCATCATTGGCAATCCCCAAAATGCTCTCATCGCATCAATCAGTCCAGGAATGGGTTTCTTGACTTTCATGAAGGATATGCTCTTGCCGGTGCTGTTGGGTCTCTTTCTGAACACGGTGGCCCTTTGGTGCTACTTTCGAAAGTCTCTTGTCTTTGAGAATCCCGAAGTGCCAGAGATTCGTGATGTAGAGGTCGCTCTCCCTGAGACAAATCGTTGCCTTCAAGCAATCTATGTAGTGGCTGTGGGTGGAGTGGTGCTTGCTATGATTGTCGGATGGATGTGGCTTGGCGCCAACGGGTGAGAGAGGTGAGATTTGGCTTTGATGGCATTTGGATTTATAAATATGGAGAACTCCATGATGGAGTACAGCCAAGGTTGCCATTGTGCTTTGTGTACATTTAAAAGTACCCCCCCACGAGTTTGCCCCACAAACTCAGAGAACCTCAACCTCAGAGGTATGTTTAGGCACACACGAACAACAATAAAAGCAAACCACCCAGCATTCTATGCGATAGAAACTGTTCGCTGCAACCCTGAGGTTTGCCCGCCCTGGAATTGTGGAAGGGTTGCCTAGTTCGGAAAGTCTATGCAGGTAAACCTGTAATAACTGTATGTGAGGCTGGAGCCAAAATTCTACACAAAAAATAGGATGGTGAGGCTGGAGCCCAGATTTTGAACTTACATGTGTAAGAGACACCGGTTGTGATTTTTACAATATCTGATATATATATATATATGTATATATATATATATATATATATGTATATATATATATATGTGAATAGCAAAACATCAACACCAAGAAATTATAAAGAAAATGGGGTGCCCACCCCAATACCTTCAACGAAAGAAGGAGCACTTGTTGCCTTCAACACTGAAGGCAAAGCCACATACTCTTTTTGGAAAGAATCGGTGCGTGGGATCATTCGAACCAGTTTGTCCGCAATCCGGACGTTCGCCCACCACTTAATTTCATAGGATCAAATCCGCGGCCCTCTCTGAACAGTATATTGAATGGGATATTAACTTTAACTAATCTATCTTCATGTCGTAACGGATCACAAATCTGCCACCCAGTCTGAACAATAATTTGAATGGGATACACATCTATACAATGATATACATAGATCCTATTTTTGTAGCATTTTGTATATAATATGTATATAAATTATAAATATATGAAATTATATGATATATTATATGTTCATGATTTTACTAGCATCTATCTATTAAATTCTTTAGATATATCCATTATATGATAATTACTGTTGGATCAGACCGTTGCCACGACGAGGTTCAACATGAACACGGATGACGTGGCCCTCGCCGCTGGCTCCACACTGATGTTCATCCGGGCCCTGCGACGTCGGGCCACAGGGGCCAAGGATGCAGGGGATACAGAAACCCAATTTGCTTTGGGAGCCATTGACTATTCAATCCTGATCCTCTTCATTGGCCAGTTCATTTTGGTGGGTGCCACAGTAGACACTGGCTTGCCACAGAGACTCTTCCACGGGATTTTAGGACCATGTGCAAAGGATTTGGCAGCAGGACCACTTTGTATGCTCTGGTTTTCAGGTGTTGTCCTCCTCCTTTCCAATGTCATCAGCAATGTGCCAGTGATTCTGATGCTCCAACCTTTGTTGGCTACGCAGCCAGCTGAATCAGTCGCCAGCATTTGGACTGTTTGTGCGTGGGTGGCTACCGTCTCGGGGAATCTCACCATGCTTGGAAGTGCTGCAAATCTCATTGTCGCTCACGCAGCTGAAAGTGAGGGAGAGACCGGCTTTGTCGCGACCTGCTACAGCAAGTTCTCGTTGATTCCAACGCTTGTGATCACTTGCATTGGAGTTTTATTGCTGCCGCCGATTGGACCAAGCTGGGGATGGATAGTTGGACTTGCTCTGGTGGCTTTGATGTTGATGATGGTGCTCTTCAAAAGCTTCACAACTCGTTTCGGCTGCTGTGCAGTTGCTGCATTCCACCGGGCTTCCTGCCTGGTCTGCGGACTCAGCCGTGAGAGCATCGGCTTGGTGTTGCTGTCGTTCTTCGCTTCGGCTCAACTCCTTGGTCCTTACGAAGGTGCCTGGTTGACAGCCAACTCCATGAGGACTTACAACCCAGGAGAGCTTGGTGCACTGAACGCGATGCAGCAGGTAGTAGTAGCAGTTCTGCAACCTTGCCTTGGTTGCCTGGTGGATGCTTGCCATGCCAAGCGCAGACTGGTTGCTTTGGGGAGTGCATGTGCTTTGCTCAGCGCTGCAATGGGAGTCTTTGTCCCACAGTTCTTCTGGTTGGAGATGGCTTTGCAGATCCCCACAGCAATTTCCATGACCCTGGTGCCTCTGGCGTTGAACTCTCTGACTTTGGGTGCAGCAGAGAATTTCACCCTGCAGGTGGCTCTCAACAATGTGGGCCTTCATTTGGGAACTGTCTTGAGCTCAGGGGCCATGGCCCTCCTGGCCAGCGTGGTCAAAGATCATTCAGGGGGGAAGACCGTGGAGAGTCCATGGTGGAGCTCCGTCCCCATGGCAGCCTGTGGGCTGACCATTGTGGCTCTACCCATTGTGCGTCACTACAAGGTCGACTACCACCGGGCCTCTGGGATGGAAACCACGGAGTCTCATGAAACGGAAGCGACCAACAAGGGTCCCTCGGGACTATGGACCTCCAAGTTCTTCATTGTGAATGCTCTTTGCTTCCTGTTCAATTTTTCCAACATGGCTCAATTGCAGTTGCTGGTGCAGGAGGCATCAAAACTTATTCCTGGTCAAGCAATCAATTTCACCAGCGCGGCACAAGTCATTGCACACTTGGGGATGTTGGTGGCTTCTGTGGTAGCCGGACGACTGGCAGACTTTGGCCGCAAGCCTCTGGTTCTGATTGCTTGCCTCACCGTCACCATCCGTGCTTTGCTGACAGCTGCCACCGATGTCTGGTGGACCCAGCCAGGTGGCTCTCCTTGGTTGTCCTTGTTGCCCTGCGAGACCCTGGATGGTGTTTGTGCCGGACTTTGGGGTGTGCTAATGGTGCTGATGGCAAAGGACGTTTCGGAGAACACTGGTTGCTTCAGCTTGGCATTGGGCTGCTTGCAGGCAGGGAATGGGTATGCAAGGATTCGCAGAGGAAATTTTACTTGTAAATTGTAGTGAAAGGCTGCAGAGGTGTATGGTCGCAACTTGGAACACATTGCGCTAAGTGCCATCTCCGAAATGTTTGTTGTTGTCATCTCGCTATGTTTCGTTCATTTTTGTTCAGCTGCAAAATGTGTTCCTTTTAAAGGGAGGGCTATTTTTTTTGGGAATTTTTTCCCGTTTTTTTTTGGGGATTTTTTTCCCGTTTTCTGGTGGAAGGAAGGTGCGAGGAAGGAAGGAAGGAAGGAAGGAAGGAAGGAAGGAAGGAAGGAAGGAAGGAAGGAAGGAAGGAAGGAACAACAGCAACACCAACAACAACAGCAACAACAACAACAACACCAACAACCAACAACCAACAACCAACAACCAACAACCAACAACCAACAACCAACAACCACAACCAACAACAACAACAACAACCAACAACACCAACCAACCACAACAACAACAACAACAACAACCACAACAACCACAACAACAACAAGAACCAACAACAAGAACCAACAACAAGAACCAACAACAAGAACCAACAACAACAACCAACAACAACAACCACAACCACAACAACAGCAACAACAACAACAACAACCAACAACCAACAACAACAACAACAACAACCAACAACAACAACAACAGCAACAGCAACAACAACAACAACCACAACCACAACCACAACCACAACCACAACCACAACACCACAACCACAACACCACAACCACAACCACCAACCACAACAACAACCACAACCAACCAACACCAACCAACCAACCAACCAACCAAGCAACCAACCAACCAAGCAACCAACCAACCAACTAACTAACCAACCAACCAACCATCCAACCAACCAACCAACCATCCATCCATCCATCCATCCAACCACAACAACAACAACAACACCATGCAAATCAGAGAGCTTAGCTGCAAAACGCTGCAAATACCAATCAAAACCATCAAACCCCAAAAAACGGGAAAAAAAACCCAAAAAAACGGGAAAAAAATCCCAAAAAAAATTGCAGCCCCTTTTAAAGTTCAATGAGTTCCATATGTTCCATGTTTCTTGTGCTTGGCCATGCTTGGCCACAGGCATCTTTCAGTGTGGGTGCCATCTTTAGCTCAGAGCTGGCTGGCATTTTGGCCAACCGCCTGGGTTTTGCTGTAGCCTTCCTGTCCTTGGCGGTGGTGGGGATGGTGTCCTTCGTCTTGTCGCTGTTCATGCCTGAGACCCAAGTGCATCAAGGAGCTGAGTCCAGACATTGCCCATTTCTGATGAGACTCTCCCAAAGCTGCCGCAGCTGGATTGCTTGAAGGCGTACAGGATCTTCCAGTATCTTCCAGTGCTTGGCTGAAGTGGTTGTAAAGGTGTAAAGTCGTATGTGTATTCGCTGTGCCATACTATGCCCTAGACAGCTGTAGCGCTGTAGCCTGCTTGTCTCAAAGTCGTTCATGTGAGCATATAATTTGTTTGATGCAGCTGCGCTTGAGGGCAACATCCAAATTGCTTGCCGGTGCATCTTCTTGCGCGCTGCTGAAGACCGCAGAATTCAACCTGCATGATTTTTGATTTGATTCTCTTCCAGCCTTGTTTAGGCTGTACAGGTGTTTTCCAGACTGCACTGGCAGACTGAGCACATCTCAGCACATCTCAGCACATACTGCGATCATTTGTTGTACAGTGCCGACAGATTTGTGCGTTTATTGGGCAAGTCCCAGCCTCGTTTCGTGAAAGATGTTGATGCGCAGCCTGCACAGCTGTCGTTGTTTGTCACTATTCACTATGATTCTTGATTATCGTTTCTTTCACATTTAAACTGCTTGATTCGTTACTGACAGGCGCCTCACGTCAAATCGAACAATGACATGATTGTGATTTGGCTGCATCTGGCTGCTGGGTGGGCTTCCGATGATTTTGACAAAGCAGGCCAAATGTATACTCATGTACAGTACTGTACAGTAATTTTATGTAATTTTGCAGTACTGTACAACTTTTTCATGCTTTGATTGCACTGATTGCACCGTATACTGTATACAGCACTGATTTGGAATACTCGGTTCTAACAACAGATTTGGGTTGCTGCAGGCAGCGTTCTGAACAGGTTGCACGCTTTCGATTTTTGCAACCTTTGGTGTCTCAATACGGCAATCGACCTAAAGGTCCATGTAAGAAGTTTTAATTGCGAAAGCCGTGCATGTTATGCTGGAAACCCTCGCGGAAGTTTTTTTCGAGTTCGCGAAAGGAAAATTTTTATAAAAATTCTATTTCGCGAAAGTTGGATATTATGAATCATTATCATTGTATACATTACAGCTTGTTAAGGGCTACCACCTCCTGCCGCCCGGGGTCCGGCAGGAGAATGGCACCGCTTCATAGGTCTTCAAGCACCTCCTTGCACCTGCCGCTGGCACTGCCTAACGTTGCTTTCTGAAGTCTCAAGAAACAAGCTCCAAACGCAGCATCCAAGCTTCCAAAAGTGAGGCTTTGCGAGGGCCAAACGCGAAGGACCCTGGTGTTTGCTGATGGCTGGGGTCTGCGGATAGGGGTATTTTCGCGAAAGTTCTGCGAAAGAGTGGGCGAAAGTCAAAGTGCATTTTGAAGGGAGTGGCCCAGTAAGCTCTGCAAAAAAAACCTAATCAGCAACAACTTGTCCTGAGAAGGGGATTCCGTGATGCTAGCTGCATGCTTACAAGGCTGTGAAGAAGTTATCCGTGACATTCCGTGACAATTTTGTGTGATTTGGCACGTGATGAATGAATCTTAAGAGGAGTTGTTGCTCAACATGCGTTCCGCGAAAGATAAACATAGAGTTCGCAAAATATTTTTTATTCGCGGATAACGGCTGTTCCCGGATAAAGGAACTTTGATCAACAAGCGCTGGTGTTGCTGGGGATGAACAGGATTGGTTCTATCACATGTTTATTCAATCTTGAGGTGTTGGTGCTAAGCAGCGAGGGCAATTTTGATCCTCAACGTTTGGCTTTGGAGAGTGGCTCTTTGCTTCTGGGCCCAATGGAGGAGGCTGGTGATATCACGAGCCAAGATTTGAGAAATGTTACATCAAAGTTGAATCAGCCTCCTTGAGAAGCTAAGGGCAAACAAGGCGTTTGAAAGCAATGAGACTTTCTTCAAACAAGCAGGAGTTGGGTATGGACATAGATAACTTCATTCCTTTTTCCATTATTGTGCATTATTGTGTGGAGTTCCTTTCTTGAGGCAAAAATCAAACAGCACCGTATACTTCATTTGTTGCAGGCCAATGGCGATTTGTCATCATTTTTTGGGGTTTGGTAGCCCAGACAATCATATCCAGCAAGTCACAGGCTTGACTTGCCCAGAATTCCCCTGATGCAAAGGTGAATGGAATCAGAATGTGCATGGACCGCATGGAGATGAGATAAACTCACACACTGACCATTGTCCATGGCACCAGTGCTTGCTCAGAGTTCTATCCATGCTCTTTGGGACTGAGGTCAGCGACAATCGAACTGTCTTCGATTTGTCCTTCCTTGTCCTCCACTTATTCGTGTGACATGCTGTGACCGTGTGGTTTGTTGTGACAAAATACACAGTCAGCAGACTCAGCAAGATGAAGCAAGACATGTCGCTTTTTCGCAACGCTAAGGAAATGCTGCTGAGAGGTTCAGCAATTGCGCGAAGTCCAGCTGCGAGGATGATTCCAGGTGGGATGAATCCTGACTATGTGAACTGCAGTTGTATTGCTCAAATCCAGAGTGAGTTAAGTTATACTGTAGATTATCAGAATCATTATCATCATTATCATTATTGATCATAAAAACTTATCATTTTCATAACCATAGAGTATCATAATCATCGGAATCATTGTCGATGTTGCTATTTTTTTGCATCCTTCCAGATCTTCCAGACGCTCAGATAGCCTGCCCCTGAAATTCAGAATAGTCTGCCCTAGTTGGCAGTTTTGTTATTTGAATATACTTCATCGTATTTCAATTGAATCCCCCTTTTAGCGGGTTGCATTTTACAATGTGGGTTCCCTCAAAATTGGGTGATCTATACTCACCTTTTTAGAAGGGTGCTGTGCCCAGGGTCGACTCTTTGTCATCAGTACCAGGTGTTGTTTGGAAGACTCCGGAGTCCGTTGCTCGCACTGTGATGCTGTGCTTTCCCGAAGGATCAGCCTCATGCCAGCAGGGCAAGGGATAGAATTTTGAAGGCACAGTGGCTGAGATTGGCAGAGTATAGAATGATAGTGAATGATATAACTTTGTATATCCCCCACTTGCTTGAAGTAGTTGGGGGGAACTAAGATGGGAGGTTGGCAGCCACTGTGATTTGCTTCTGAGTGAGGCTACTTTATTATATATATATATATACGTTATTCTCTTCCAAAAGAATGTCGACCTGCTTCACGGTGCAACAAATTGTCAACCTACAGTTGCATGTATCCCAGGGGGTGTACCACGAGAGTTCGCAACCTTATTTAGGCCATAAAATTGGCTCTGAGTTTTCCATGGTCGACCGAGGCTCTCTGCATGTGGTTTCAGGAGACAGAGCACTGCGCTGCTTGCTGCAAAGCCATACTTGAGGAGGCCACGAAAGTTGGATCAAGTTGGTATCAACAGCTTCTGCAAGAATTGCTTCATGACAAGCAAAGCGCTGTTCTTTGTTCCAAAAGGGGGTTGGGGTGCAAATTTCTTCATACCCTGTGCACGTGCAGAATGTTTTCGAGCATGGTAAGCCGGTTAGGCACTCGCTTCTGGTGCTCAACCTTGCTGCGACGGGCTTGACCTGCCATCGAAGGATCCTGGAGCGTAGATCATTTTCCGAGTTCTGGAAGCGCAGGAGGGAAGATACAATGCCGTGGTACAAACAACTCTCAGTATTCTATAGTATTCTCAGTTCTATGCAGTGCGAGGTTGTGCCTTGTGTTCGTTGAGTTTGCTTCAAATCCAAAGTGGGTTGAAGTTTCTCCTGCCTTCCGGCCAATGAGTGCAATTACGCGAACTTCTTGCCACTCTATGCACCTTGCGCATCCAGAGAAGCAAAAGACTCGTGCATTCTGCAACTTTGGTGCGAGCTGAAACTAAGCATAAACTATCATAAACTGTTAAGCATCCATTACCATGCATTGCGACCCATCGCGCACTAAGCCTGCTTTAAGCAAGCAGAACAGCAGAACCATCAACTGCACTTGGTAGGCACGCATCGATCAGCAGGTGGACTTGGAAGTGGCTGCAGCTTCAGCTGCTGCAGGTTCCAGGCAGGATCCCAGCGATGTCATGTTCTGAATGTCTCAATGACCAGAATTATACAATCAGTACACGATCAGTACACAATCAGTACACAATCAGTACACAATCAGTACACAATATGATGCATCAATATGAATCATATAGATTCATAATCACATTACGCATATGACTCATATGACATATCCACTAGACAGATAGAAATGATAGATTCACACGCAATACGCAAATGAATTTGAATTGATGGATAGATGTGACCTCCGGCGCAGCTTCACTGCCACGGCGGCGACCTTGCCTCGAGCCAGCATGCCGGCCCTGGACGAGCCTCCGCCGGCGTTTCTTGGTCGCGATGACCGGTGACCGGCCGTGGTGAGAATTTAGCAGTAATGGTTGGAAAATTGGATACACTTGAGAGAGTTGGACAATGATGGAAAAGAATATGAACAGATAAGAAAGGTTTGATGAGGTCTGTTTGCAGAGTGATGGATGTACATGTTTGATTGGAACAGCTGTGAGATTTGCACTAATTAAAACGTTGCGTGCTTCCCGTATGGTGACCATTTCAGACTGGTCGAAGATTCTTTGAGTGGAATTGGGGGTTTCCATCAATGGGGGATCCCCAAAATGGATGGTTTATAATTGAAAATCCATCCAAAATAAGCTTCGGTGGTATCCCCAACAGCCGCAACGTTTTATTTTTACAAATCTTTCTGAAACATGCTGCGAAGCCAAGCGCTGGAAGTTTCCGTGAATTAAATGGCCGCAAATCCTGTTGAACCTGACCTGGCTCTGCACCAAAGCCTCCCAGATCTTCTCCGGAACCTTCTCGGGAACCCTGTTGAACCTTCTTCTCAACCCTGTTGAACCTGACCTGGCTCTGCACCAAAGCCTCCCAGACCTTCTCCGGAACCTTCTCCGGAACCTGGTTGAACCTGACCCGGCGCCTGCACCAGTGCACACCGGAGCTGTTCTGGGCTGAAGACCCCATTAGCTTACGCTGTTGGGGAAAAATTGATGATTGGGGATATATAGAAGCACCACTGAAAACCCCCTTCTTGGATCTTGCTGGAGTTGAGTGCTCCGAGGCCAAAAATGTCCTTACCTGGCTGCGGTCCAGTTCCTGGCATTCCATCTGCCTGCTGCACAGCAAGGGTCAGGTGCTGCTGCGCAAGCCTTTGGTGTTGCCATTCTTTGCTTGCATTGACTGAACAAGAAATAGGACAAGACATTGGATTCCATGATCTTGGATGATATTTATTGGATGATTTTATTGGATGATATATCATATGATATTTATTCGTGATATTGAATGATGGCATGATATTACTATAGACTGTCAGACTATACTGGATCATACTGGACCAAGGATGATCAAGGTATTTCATCAATTTCATCCAGATTTCGTCAGAAGTTGAGGCCAACACAGGCAGAGCCAGCTTTGCTGCCTCAGCATCCAGGAGGCCAGGGATGCGAACAAACACGATCTACACGGCTTTGTCCAATGGCGGTTTCATGGATACCCAAAATGATCAACGGTGATATATGGTGATAAACCACAATAAGAAACCAGGTTAGTGATTCGAATGATAAGTGGCCGTCAAATTAATGGACAAAATAATGCTAAAGCTTGGGATTGTGATTGGGGGTGCCTCTTTGGTGGTCAAATCCACACTGTGATTTGAGGGCGTGGTCTCCAGAAAGAGTGAAACCCATTGGTTTCTCTCACTGTCAAACTTACCTCTCTGGGGAAACTTGACAGCTGCAAAGACAAAATGCATGATTGAAAGAGGTCGGTGATTTCGTCCACAATCAGCGAGTACGCCCTAGGCACTGGCCTCAAGATCTTACATTTAAAACACTGTACTTCTCATGTGAATCTACGCAAGATAGTCAAGAGTCCATTGCAAAGTTTGTTTTGATCTATAGGTACCCAACTTGTCTTGACTCGGAATGTTGGCGACACATTCTGAAACTTCTGGTTCGCTTGATCGATTGAAGCAGAAAGAAACTTGTTTGACTGGTGTACGTCATATCTAAATATTCGTGACGTTTATCAGCAATGTTCAGATCGAAACCTCGTTCATTGGACGCATTCGCATCACAGTAAACCATTCTTAAACCGGTGAGTGCAGTAATTCATAGTGATTCTAGCACGGCCTGTTTCTCACACAATGCCTTTTACTTTCACCTGCTTGGATTGGCAGGAGATGATCGTCCAAGCGTTGTGGCCAGTGCCACTTCAAGGATATCCATGTTGAAACGGAGAAACAGGGAAGACAAGTTCAACGGAAAAAAAATGTTTGATTTCTTTGCGAAGTCAAGGTAGACGCTTTATTCACAAATTCAGCACTCATTTTGACAAGTTGTAGATATAGATAGTGCTCCACCCGACTGAGTCGGGACAGGACTTCAATATCGACTCCTCAAGTGTGTAGCTCAGTTCTTTTGGTGAAAGGAGTGCTGCACAATGCCCGGTGATTCTGAACATTAAGGTGAGTGAGGCAGCGAAGAGGACCAAAACCTTGCTGCAAATTGACGGAGCATTATGCACTGTGACTGGAGCCGGACGGAACAAAGTATCAGGCTATTATATCAGGTTTCTATCTTCTCAGTGGTCAGCTGGTATTGATGGGGATTTCTTGCGGGAGCATTGCCAAGGCCTTAAATTCTTTTATCAAATTTATCAAGCAACTACTCGTATTTTCCATATCACTCTGATCAAGTTTGATGAGCAGCACAGAAGCAGGGTCAACTTGCTCCATAGAACCCGCGGAAGACTCCCATATTATTGAAGCAGTCCCTCTAGGGAGGAACCAGCCTATGGATTAATTAGTAATGTTGACAGCTTGTGCGGTCGTTTGGGTACTGCTTCTTGGATTCGAATCCAACAGACGACACTGTTTATTGTGTTATCAGTTATCAGGCAAAGATGCCAGACAGCTGCACATTTGAAGATTCCCCTTCTGATGCCCCGTCTTTACATGTCTCTGCGACAGGACATCTGCAGCCCAACGCAAGTCAATAGCAGACTTGGCAGAGTCTCGAAAGTCCTTGGTGGAGGTACAGCCATCCCCCTTCTTTCAGTATTATCATGTGTAGTATCTCCCTAGAATCATCCAATTTCAGGATCCACAATTCTGACCCAAACCGGTCTGGCGGGGTGTACACCCTTGGCCAGGTGATGAAAATGTACGGTCCAGATGAAGAGACGACGGTTGAAGCAGCCACCAGCCGAACAAGCTTGAGTGGTTGGTGCGCCCACGAACTGATGGAAGTCAGCAGCGCAAGGGTGTTTGCATTTTCTTCAATCACAATCCATCAGTATGCTGGTACATACTGGTAATTACTGGTACAATCTGGTACACAAAGCTCAATGCCGGAGTGGAATACAGCCCGAGAGTTGGTTAAGAATCCGAAAGCTTGAGGCTCAGGGTCCCTCAAATGCTTATTTTTAAATGCGGGCAAATTTCCACCACAATAGGTCGAGGGTCCCTCAAATTCTTAGAGCATTCTTAGTTATGTATTGTATGCATTTGCGCAATTTGGAGCGAGCTAAAGCGAGGTATAACGAGGTGGAGTTGGCAGATTTGACAAGAGGCATACGAAAAAACAATTGTTTAGAGTTTAGAGCCTGAAAATTGTTTTTTTTGCAAAGCCGGGCTTGTCTGAGTTTCACAAGAGCAGTGCCGAAAAAACATTTTTTTAGAGCTTGAAAAATTGTTTTTTTTTGCAAAGCCGGGCTTGTCTGAGTTTCACAAGAGCAGTGCCGAAAAAACATTTTTTAGAGCCTGAAAAATTGTTTTTTTTGCCACTATGTAGTTTTCTTGGTTTCCTGTAGTCTGCCTTTCACAATCACACCACGCGCACAACTTGTCAGAGTTGTTGCAAGGTCCGATTTCATCCCACAGGGCTAAGGTGTCCAAGCATGCGCGAAAAAACATTTTTTGGGAGCTTGAAAAAAATGTTTTTCTGCAAAGCCCGATTTCATCCCATAAGTTAAGGCCATAAGGGGTCACTCCACAAAAAAAAAGTGAACCGCAAAGGGGAATTGCAAGCCTCACGTATAAGCAGTAATTTATGAATTTGGCAATCCTATGCCAGGGTCCCTCAGATTCTTAAAGTACGATGTGCTTGGAATACACTGAAAATATGTCGCCCGCCTTGGATTCGAGCCCCTCAAGTTCTTATACGGTGCATTCTTATACAATACTCAAGCTGTAGATAAACAATATGGATGCACATGGATTAAACATAAAGTCGTAGAGGCTGGTGTATTCAGCAGTAGATTCTTTCGATGCTCCACCAGTTTTTGGTGAAGTTGCCGAAGATATTTCATACATTATATAGCATAACAGTCTTATGTAATCATGCACGATGTGGTTCTATGGACGCGTGCGCAATGTTGGAGTTGCAATAGAACTAGACTTGCTTTTCATTTGTGCACCGAGAATCCAACTCGCCTCTTTCAGGTACGCAGAGGACAAGGGATTCCAGCATTTTCTATTCTTATTGAATTTGTGTCAATTGTTGCGTGTTCACAGACAGCCCAGTATGCCATGCAGGACA